ACAGAAGAGGATGGGGCCCCTATCCACCATATATATGGAGTAACCCGTCGCGATCGAGCCATCCTGTGATGGTGCGATCGGGCCCCTCAGGGACTCTTTGCGTTCAGCACTTCACCGGTATCTCGCTTCTCCTTTCAGACTGCGCACACACGCGGGTATCATCCGGTTGGCCCACGTTTCGCTGGAAAATACCTACATAAGCACCAGATCAGTAGATTTATATGATATAGTAGCAGTAGTACCATGACATATATAGGGAGGCAAAAGGCCCTGGGGGATGAGGGAGACCAACTACTACTACTACTACTACTCCTCCTGTAGTAGTATGCCAGTCCTGTACCTGGTACTTACTAGGTAGCTAGGTCTCACTACTTAGCTAGTAGTAGTTTTCACCGTGACCAGGATTGCTTGCAGCTTTGGGCTTCAAGTTCAAGTTCAAACCTTGGAAGTTGCAAATTTGTGAATATATATCTGGGATAGAAGCCCTGGATTACTAGTAGTAATAATACTACGTACTAGTATTCGCTATTTCTAGAGTATCCTGGATCGCCCCAGATAAACCCTGGAGCTGCACAGGTGCATCACATTCCTCCGATGCATGGCCATTTTAATTGAATTCTTCCCCGTCGATCACTACTAGTATGTGTAATCTGTCTCGAATCTTGACACCGGGGCGATAGTCGGTTTCACGTTCGGTCGAAAAATCCGTTACAGTTGTGACCTTAGCCGATGACTTGCTGCAACTCCATTGGGTCGGCTGGTCGCCTACGATCCACCAACGCGACCGGAGAGGGCAGTGGGATGCGCCAGCTCCTAAATTTAGGTAGTGTCGAGAGTAAGCTTTGGGAAAAGGAGTTCTGGACAATTGTATTCCGTTGGTCACAATTCATCCTAATCGTGATGAGGTTTATTATTGAAAACAACACGAGATCAGAGGGGGGCTCTACATTTCAGAACTTTTGGTTGATTTCACAAGGACATAGAACTACCACTGGCAGAGTAGGTATTCGTCAGCCAACCCCAGATCATTTGAAATATCTCGATCTGCATGCGCAAGATGCATGGCGTGGAATCAATGCCGGTCTTGTGCAAGGGGCCCATGGTGTGCAGACGTACAGTGATGAATAGGATCCTACATGTAGTAGATGTACTCCCTAGAACCCGTGCCTCCCTCCTCTGCGGCTCCAAACCGAAGGGGAAGGCGCGACCAGGAACTGAACCGATTACTAATTACCATGACATAAACTGTGCCTGAGGCCTCAAATGGTTGTCCATACCCGGCGCGTCGAGATCAAGAAGAATAACATTGGAAAGGCGAGGGTAAAAAAAGAGGTTCCAATGAATCTTCTATCCTCTGATCCTCTTGAGAAGCTTTCTCCATCTCTTCCCATGCGTCGATGAATGGTGTTCCGACCATGTCGACGGGACAACCAGTCCAATCCCATGGGGTTACCACCTCCATGGATATCGCCCGTCACCAGGCGTCTAGTGGCTATAATGTAGCCCCGGTAGCAGGACAAAAGAGGCCCTTGATAGATTCATCCCCCCAGGAAACCCATAAGTTAGGTGCAGGCTCACATCGCATCGCCCTGCGGGGTCTAAGTGAAATATCCAACCCGCCGATTCTAGAGTCGGCCCCATTGGACTTTGCTCGAGCCTCCCTGGCCCCTCCTGTGAACCGATTTATCGCCAGCGCTATCCATCTGGGCCCGGGCGCCAGCGGCTTGGATGAGGAGCATAAACTCGGAGAACCAGCCCCGGAATCCAGTCAGAATCCCCTATTGTCTCTTTCACATCCCAAATACGGACTCCCTTCGGCTCTCAAGGCCAACTTCGCTGCCTTGGGGGTCACCTCTATTTACGCTTGGCAAGCATCCTGTCTCTTGGCGCGGGGTTTATTATCTGGCGAGCGGCATTTGGTCTACACAGCCCCTACTGGTGGAGGCAAGTCCCTAGTGGCGGATGTGTTGCTGCTGAAACGGATCATCGAGAATCCCACCCGCAAGGCTATCTTGGTTTTGCCCTACGTTGCATTGGTTCAAGAGAAGCTTAAATGGCTGCGTCAAATTGTTCAGGGCGTGGAGAAAATTCTCCCCGAGGAGAAGGATGAGGACGAGGACGATGGTGATAAATTTCATTTCGCCCGCAAACGATGGAAGCGATTACAAAAGTCCGTCCGAGTGACTGGTTTCTTCGGCGGAAACCGGACAACTACAACATGGGCGGATACCGACATTGCTGTTTGTACCATAGAGAAGGTGCGCTTTCCAAGGGTGTTATTGTATGGAATTTGCCTTTATTGACGTGAGACTTTTAGGCCAATTCGTTGATAAACTCAGCAATTGAAGATTGTAGCATTGGTGACTTGGGCGTTGTGGTGCTCGACGAGCTACATATGCTTGACGATGAGCATCGTGGATATTTGTTGGAGTTGATGGTAACGAAATTGCTGTTGCTCCAGCAGGATATTCAAATAGTGGGCATGAGTGCTACTCTTTCGGTATGTTGACAAGGTTTTCTATTCGCATTGGAGATCTCTAATATAGGAACAGAATACCGAGATGTTGGCACAGTGGATGAATGCCAAGTTCTACATTTCCACCTATAAACCGGTTCCTATTGACGAGTACCTGGTTTACGAGAATGTCATCTACCCGGCCGCGACATCAAGACAGCTTTTCCAAACAGCTTCAAAGCTGACAGCCTCGGCATCAGCATCGAATAAATTGCAAGACTCTGTTCCTCCGCACCGGATTATTGAAGCATCTGCTTACAAGGAGCTCTCCAATTCTGCAACAAATTCAATGGTGGCATTGGCAGTTGAAACTGCCGCTGCAGGGTTCGGAGCATTAGTCTTCTGTGGTAGTCGGGGGGCATGTCAAGTCCACTCCGCCACCATAGGTGAGGCGATGCCTTCACTAACGGAAGGCACTGATGAAATGAACAAGCGACTAGACCTCTTGGCAGAGTTAAGAAGTCTCTCATGTGGCTTGGACCCGATTCTCCAGAAAACAATCATCAAAGGAGCTGGATTCCATCGTCAGTAAATACCCGATAGTTTGTGACCCTGCAAGACTGACACCTGCACAGATGCTGGCATGACAACAGAGGAACGGGAGCTGATTGCGCAGGCTTACGATCAAGGCGTACTGAGAGTGCTTGTGGCGACCTGCAGTCTTGCTGCTGGCGTGAATCTTCCTGCGCGAAGAGTCATCATCAATGGCGCTCGAATGGGGCGAGAATTGGTGGGCCCCGCAATGCTGTGCGACTATCTCTATGATATATCTGCGATGAATTCAAGCTGACAATGACAGGCGTCAAATGTGTGGACGAGCTGGACGCAAAGGCAAGGACAGCTCTGGTGAAACTTATTTGATTTGTGTCAAGTCCGACCTTGAGGCGGTATGCGATCTATTGGATGCTGATATGCCAGCCATCGCAAGCTGCCTGGCCCCAGAGAAGAGAGGCCTGAAAAGGTAGGATTTTTATTTTACGACCTCATTGGAACCAGAAGGCTGACATTTATAGGGCACTCCTCGAGGCTGTAGCAACAGGGTTGGTCTCGGGAGGCGAAGCGATCAAGGAGTACGTGCGTTGTACTCTGCTCTACCTCTCACTCGACAAGAAGCTGGTGTACAGTATCATGAATTCCGCTCTGCAAGAGCTCATTAACGAAGGCCTTTTACTTTTGAAAGATGACGAGTCATATGGAGCGACCCTGTTAGGCCAGGCCACTGTAGCCTCGGCCTTTTCCCCTGAAGATGGACTTTACGTGCACGAGGAACTCAAGCGGGCACTTGAAGCATTCGTTATGGATGGTGATATGCATATATTCTATATGTTCACTCCTCTTCAAGTGGCTATGCAGATTCCAATCGACTGGCAGATTTTTCGAGACCAGCTGGATCGCCTGGATGAGAGTGGCCTTCGTGCCCTTCAATATGTTGGCGTTGAACCGGGATTTGTAAACACAATGTGAGTGACCACCAGCCCAGTCGGCCAAATTTTTTTGTTTTTCTCTGCTCATATGTGTCTGATATTCAATAGGGTACAATCTGGGGCATCATTAAAGGAAATAACCCCAGAGCAGCTCAAACAAGCCCGTGTATACCGTCGCACCTATACCGCTTTCCAACTTCGCGACCTGAGTAACGAAGTCCCTCTAGCAACTATTTCCCAGCGTTACAAGACTCCTCGTGGGTCCATCCAGACTCTCGCACAACAATGTCACGGATTTGCCGCCGGAATTGTCAAATTCTGTCAGCGCATGAATTGGGGCATGTTGGCAGCTGTGTTGGACCACATGCGCGATCGCCTCGAAGCTGGCGCGCGTGCCGATCTACTCGAGATGGCACAGGTCACATTTGTCAAAAGCTGGACAGCGAGACTGCTTCGGGAGAATGGATTCAAAGGTCTACGGTCTCTTGCTGAGGCAAATCCTAAAGATCTAGTCCCAATCCTCATGATGGTATGTCTCCCTCCCCTTAGGACCCAGTGAAGGGAGATATTAATCCTTGGACAATTAGGTCAATCCTCGCAAGACGCAGAAAAACCAGCTGTATCCAACAGAATCGGAGCGATATGCCGCCAAATTGTTGACCAAAGCAGAGACCATTGTTGCTTCTGCGAATAAACTATGGGGTAAGTTAAATCACTATCGTGGAGAGAACTTCTTGCTAATCTTACTCTCTCTTTAGACAAGGAAATGCAAGTCCAATTAGAGGAATGAGCCATGAAGCTTTGAATAAAAGGACTTGGTATTTGGTTTGGTGCATGATAGGTTTTCATCGAAGTTTGCATATGCATAAGGCGTTTTTGATATTTGCATGAATATCCCTCAACCGTCCTCCAGGGCCCCCTAGAAATGTCATGGACGAACTTGAATGAATAATCGATTTCAAGTAAATCGACCTTGGAAGTTCATCAAAAACAATACTAGTATGATATTCGTACTAACACCCCGTGAACATAGCTAAGACAGGCCAATAACTATACAATACTCAAAAGCCATTCAAATTATTCTGCGCATTGATCGCATCCCCCTTATCCAGAAAGTCCAGCAATATTGCATTTGGCGCGCGGTCATAGAGCCCTTCGCATAAACTAGCCTGCGCCCCGATACTACCATCGCCCGTGGCTGCGTTAGTCTCTCCCGCATGTACGCGATCTGGGATCTTCACGCCGAAGATGTCCACGTCTAAAAAGTGATTCACGATGTACATGCGGCCGGATGCAGAGGCGCCGGAGGGTCGGTCGATGGCACAGCTTGAGAAGGACGAGTCGGTCACGTCGTAGGCTGTTTCGAAATAATAGGCGAACTCGTCAAGGATGTAGTCCACTTTTTTCGCATCGGCGCCGTAATCTATGGGGCCATGTTATCAGAATGCATTCAATCAGTTGGGCGGAGAGATTTGGTTGCTTGATGATTTAAGGATTCGGGCTTACCTAGAAAAACGACTAATCTCTTCCCACTTGAGATAAGCTCTCCGATTGTAGGCCATTTATCGATACCTAATGTATCCGGATTTGAAGACGGGACAAATGCGTAGTCAGTGATTCCACTGCTGGAGAATGTATCTTCAAACTCTGTGATTTCCACCGAGTCCCCGTTCGTGAGTAGAAGGGTGACGACTTCATTTGTGTTTGAATCGAGCCAGTCCTTAACAGTACCCAAAAATGACTCTAGTGTTCCTGCATCTTCCAGAAAACACGAAGTATGGCATAGCTCTAGGACTTTGTCATCCAGGATGGAATGGTGCGTCTGTGCCTGTAGAAACCGCACACCCATGTCGAGTTGAGCTTTAATATCGATGTTCTGGTTCTGCTGGGGAAGTTTCCCAACAAAGGCAGAGTCGTGCGAGCCTACAAAGGTGACATTTGAATAGGAGCGGTCGCAGTACTCTGCGCGGCCGTTGCAGGTTGAAGCTGCTGCGTCGGCAAGATCTCTGGCGCGCAAGTTGCGTATCTCTGGAGCTCCCAAGCTAGTTGAAGCAAGCAGAAGAGTCCCAAACAAGACCCTTGTCAGTGCCATAAGATTCGGATTCATGGTGGTTTGATGTTGACAAAGGGGGGGCCACAGGTCGGAAACCGAAGCGGAATCAGAGTAAATATTTGGGGCTTCGAAGAAATTTTCCGAATCACCAGGTCTTCTCTTATATCGTGACTACTGTCCTGGTGCGGCAGAATGGGGTTGTGACTGATTCATATGCGTAGTAACCACGGGTTGCGAACTGGGAGGTGACCAGCTCCCCAGCATTCCACATGCCGGCGATCCCTAGCCCAAAAGGAAAATAGACAACTCATTTAGAGCAAGACCTCATGATCGGGTCGGCCAGAATGATATTTAGCGCTGAGTATCGTTTGGTGGAGCCGAAAGGCACAAATAGGATCCATGATCCCGCATCCCCTTGTGACTCGATGTAACGGCAAGCCCCGCACATTAGAGGACAAGGGCAGAAGAAGGGTAAACAAAACCCGCAGGAAGCGGCATGGTGCCTGCTTCAGGGTGCGCTTTGAGACGCCACGGATCCTATTTCAAAGGACGATCGGAGCAAGCCATGCAGGTGCATGGCGGCGGCTCCGTGGTCGCATAGGGGTCGAGGCAACCCGCCAATGATGGGAGGTTTTGGAGCCATTGAGGAGGATTCATCGGTGATGGGCGACAGGCGGCGGTGGCATAGAATCTACCTTTTCCTTTTCTTAAAGAATAAGTTAAATGAATTGAGGTGTGAGGATGGTGGGTTTTTAACTCAGTATGATTTGCCAACGAAAAACAGAAGAGAGTGTGTAGGAAGATAGATATCTACGTAAGGTAGGTATACTACGGAGTACAGCCACAGTGGCTGAGCTCGGGCCGATCCAGTCCAGGCCAACTGGGTGGCTCCTTCCCAGTGAGTTCCAGGCAGAAGGTACTCCGACTCCACATGTTTACCACCTCCGAGCCGCACGACCCCGTCCTCATCCCACACCTCCGATTACCCCCCTCTCTCCAAATTCTATCGTTCAAGTTTGCGACCACGTTACTTTCACATCCCACATTTCCTCGTTGGCTTGTCCACGCTTTCCCCCTGACGCGGCACCAGCAATGATCATTCAACGACCTTCTTCATGAGCTCGATGGCTGAGGGCAGTGAAGGCTGGGTACGAGACGATGAGGATGAGCTTGACCTGGGCCAGGAGGTTGACGACCCCCAAATACTCGACCATGGCGCTACAGATATCCCCGAACCCCTACAGGAGTCGGTCGAGCACGACGTGGAGGAATTGGAGGAGCTTGGCGAATTGGACACGATAGACAATGCGCAAGACCAAGTATCGGAGAGAACAGTACAGCCCGGAGATGCTGGGCTTCCACAGACCCCGCCCAATCGATATACAGAGTTTCCGGGGGCTTCAGGGAGCCAAGATGGAACATCCTCTACTCCGGATGACTCGCCGTCCCTACACGTGAGTACCGCGATTGGCCCATGCGTTAATGGTAATGGCCTACTAATTAGCAACAGGGCTCCATTATGTCCTCTCAAAGTAGCAGCGCTTTAGCTTTAAGAGGTTCTTCACGATTTAGTCCGAGTCCGAGTCCCGCGCATCGTCCATTCGATCTCCGCTTTCAATCCCGTCTCTCCTCATCACCGCTCGCCGCATCAAGAACCGGGTCGCCTTTCCTCGCACACCTCCATTCCAGACAGTCCTCTATCACTAGCCAGGTTTCACCCACCCCAGAATCCGGCAATGACACGCCTCAGAGTCCCTGGGATGTGGTGCGGTGGACAAAGTTGCGCAAGATCACAGGTCAGGCCTTTTCGGAGATCGGAAAACGCAACTTCGGCCGGCCAACCTGTTTGGCGGTTTCAACAAGTATTGTGGTTGGTACTTCCAAGGGAATTATTCTAGTCTTTGACTATCAACAAAGCTTGAAGCACATAATTGGAACCGGGACCAAAGGTTTGTCGAGAGCTTCCCCTCTTCGTTTTGTTTTCACAGCGTTAACCAGACACCAGCTGTTGAATGCGGCCAAATAACCGCATTGGCGCTGTCTGCGGACCATTCTACTGTGGCTGGAGGCCATGAGTCCGGAGACATATTCACCTGGGAAATATCGCGGTCCGCAAAACCTTTCCTCCATATACCGCCAATCCCAGCAAATCAAATCGAAGCCCGGGTCTCTGATGGCCACATTGCGGGGGCATATGTCATTCATATCGGGTTCCTTGGCACGAGGCGTACTGCTCTTGTCTCGGCGGATACAAGAGGAATGGCATTTTCACATCTGGCAACGCGAGGCATGGGCGCTGTTGGGCGCACCATGAAAACAACGAGGATCCTTGGCCGATATCCGCAGATGGCACCGGAAGAGCGTCGCCGAAAGCCTAGCTCGGTCCTGGCATTCTCTCCCCTTCCCCTTGGCAATGTTGAGCAGCCTTCTGATCCATTGGGGCTTGTTGCCATGTTAACACCTTACCTTCTGGTCATCGTTTCTACCACTCCGGTTGCTCAAACACAACACAAAGCGCCTCGCCCGAAGGAAGTTCCGGCCCACAGTGCTATGACTGGAGCATTGGCTTGGTTCCCGGCTATTCGGTTGAAGGGGAAAGATAGCCAGACATCAAATACAAAGCTGGTCTATTGCTGGTCAAATGTCTTGACGGTGCTTGAAGTCTCCGAAGCAGAGTCTGAGGAACCTGTTGACAAAGACAGGCCGCCTAGCTTGGTTTTCCAAGCACGCAGTAGGTGGAAAGCGGACGAGGCCATTGTCGCTGTTCAATGGTTGAGCCGCTCCGTGCTGGCAGTTTTTACAATAACTCAACGCCTCCTGATTCTTGAGGATTATTCAATGCACGTGACAGATTCTATCGATCTTGCATATCGACATATCTACCATGTGGATCTCTTTTCGTCACAGCTTCATAACCTGGTGGAACAGCTCGACGAAGAAGATACGTCAATGCATGGTGTGGTGGCTGACGCATTTTACATGAGCTTCCGTGCCTACAAGGGGCGCTTGTTTTTGCTCGGATACAATGAAGCCCTTGTTGGCAATCTATCAAACTGGGCAGATAGACTCCTGGCTCTGATGGAGGGTGGTGACTTCATAGGTGCCATCCGATTGGCGACTTCTTATTACACAGGCACTGCAGAGAAGCTTACAGTTGGTCTCCCCGAAGAGGATAGCCTGAGACAGCCAATCGTTCAGGAGAAACTCTTGGAAATGATCTCTGCATCTCTCAAGTATGCTTTCGGACGTAATGCCGAGGCGGACAGCGGACGGATGGGGAACAGACAACTCGAGGAACTCGCTGAAGTATCCATCGCCTCCTGCATCTGTATGACAGATGAAGAATTCTTGTGGGAGGAAGTGTTTCTTTGGTACGAAGAAAATGATTCTGCGGGGATTTTCTTGGATGTTCTTGAGCCGCATATCGTCGATGGAACTATTCGCTCGCTTCCTCCCACGGCAGTTAAAGCTCTCATCGGCCATTTTGTCCAGACTCACCCTGCTGGCCGACTAGAAGAGATTATATGTCTTCTGGATACTACAACCATGGACATTGATCAAGTGACGACGCTATGTAAACAACATAATCTATACGATGCATATGTCTACGTTTGGAACCGCTGCCTAGCGGACTACGTGGGCCCTCTGGAGGACCTTATACGACTCATTCCTGCACAGACCGAACCTTTGGCCAATGGAGACTTTACATCGGAAATGTTAAAGCATACAAACGCGATGAAAATATTCCCCTACCTGTCGTTTGTTTTCACAGGCCGCATCTATCCTACTGGCGATGCTCTAGATGAGGTCGAGGCATCGCGGGCCAAACTCGCCCTGTATCAATATCTATTTTCGGGCCACCTGTCTGGAACAGGATCCGGGGGTACTTCCGACGACACCGATTCATTCTCGCCTCTCAGAGCAGTCCTCAAATTCGACGCCTCTAGCTTCATGAGTATGCTGAACGAGGCCTTTGAGGACAGCTTTTTGAACGAGCCTGATTCAGAAGATGGTCCTGCCCCAGGCGCATCGATTAATCGACAGTATCTGATTAGCATTCTGCTTCAGGTGATGGAGGAGTCCTCATTTTCAAATACTGATACCATTTACCTGGATATGTTTGTTGCACGCAATCTCCCTAAGTATCCTCAGTATATCCTTCTCTCAGGAACAACTCTCCATCAGGTTCTTGCCCGGCTATGCCAGTATCCGGAAGAAGACATGGCAGATGATTGTGAGCTGAGCGTGGAATACTTGCTATCTTTCTATCACCCACCGGATATCCAAAGCATGGTGCCTCTTTTTAAAGAAGCTCGATTTTTCAGGATCCTCAAATCGACATATCGCTCCGAGAAACAATACCCGCAATGGATCCTGACATACCTGGATGATCCGAATGGCAAGGAGTCTATTTTTACTGCTCTACACGACTGTCTTCGCTCGGGATCAGGCCTGGGGAAGAAGCAGAGAAAGGATGTGTTGGATGTGGTAAAAGAGCATGCTCAGCAAATCGCCGCCATTGATGTGACTCAGGCTGCTCAGACAATGCAAGACTTGGCACCTGAAACTCATACGACGTTTCTCGAGGTCCTAGTCGAGGATGCCTACAAACAATACCAGTACCTCCTGGTCCTAGTGGAACCTCAGAGCCAAAGTGGGGACAGTCGGCCCTTCCCCTCGGTGGAAAATTGGATGATTGAACGCTATGTACAGCTGCTATGCAGATTCAACCCGTCTCATGTGGCTCGATTCGTCGATGGTATACGGGTTGGCGACATTCACCTAGAGAAGCTTCTTCCCTCTATCGAAGAAAGTGGAGCTATTGATGCAGCGGTCATTCTGCTTGCGCGACAAGGTCAAGTGCGGCCTGCCCTGGACCGTCTCATTGCGCACTTGGGTACACTAGAATCAGCCTTGGTAGGCATCATTCAAAGTGTCCGCGAAGCCCCAGACACGGCTAGCACAAACGAGGCAATAAATGATCTCTTGGAGTCTCTGAACAAATATTCCGGAGTCGGAACTTGGCTTTGCCAGGGCCAGACCAAGACAGCCAAGCAGACTCGACCTAATACGAATGGGCATCGTGGCACATCGCCTCTTGAACAGCCCCTGGCATTTGATGAGAGCCTTTGGCTGGACCTCATCGAGGCCGTGGTTCGCACTGCAAGCAGTGTCTTCGCAATTATGCGGGGCGATCAAGTTAAAGATGCCGCGCAAGTCCAGACGGACGAACCTTTGAGTGGCGAGACTGGGCGGTTGACGACATCTTTCCGATCCCTGGTTCAACAAGTTTTCACTGCCTTGCTGAATAGCACTGTTAAAGGTGGCGGGCTATCAATGAGTGAGCGTACCGACTTGTCCTTCCTGCGTATCCTCCGGTCGTTCCTGACCCGAGCTGCCAGCTGGTCACCCTCGTTGCTTGAGTTACGGGCCGTCCTCGCATCCGTCTTCTCTGCCTACTCCTACGAGAGGTCGCTTTTGACCCTTGCCAATGGCATGCTTGATCGCGATCTTTTTGTTCATGTGGACGAAGTCAGTCGACTGCGGCAGCATGGCTGGCGCCCACGTGGACAAGCTTGTGAAGTGTGCCACCGACGAATCTGGGGACCTAGTATTGGTTCACCGCACTGGGCAGCATGGGAGAGGAAGCAGAACGATGACCGAGAGCGTCGCATCGCCAAGCGTCTCGAAGAAGGATATGACCCTGTGCTTGAAAGGGGTAAAGGCAAAGCTGCTGCTGTGGGTGCAAGTCGACCGTCACATCTGCTGACCTCCGAACCCACGGGGGTTAGCTCTGTTGAGCACGAGCACAAGCACGATGCTCTAGATGAAGAAGAGGGGCCAGGGGGCGGCACGTCTGGACCCCTTGAAATGATCCCCCCTGGGCCAGTAGTGGTTTTCTCGTGCCGGCATCTCTATCATCGCCAGTGTGTTCTAGACGCCATCCGCACTCCGGGACGACCCACAGAGCAGCCAGCAGCATTTCAGCGCGAGAATGCCGACTGGCCCGTCACCGAGCTCTTTTGCCCGGCTTGTAAATAAATTTTTACTGGTAGCGACCCTTTCTATGTCCCGCTTTCCCATTTTCCCATCCCCTTATCCCGATTATCTATCTTTTCCATGTGTTCTGGTTGGAGGACCTACAGGTGGCCCCCCTGGAAAAGCATGAGTGGGATCTGTCATATAGTCATTTTTTTCTTTTCTTTTTCAACACCCCTGCAATATCATTGAGCGTATTTGGCATTTGCTCCGTGTGAGGTCGTTCATACTACGGACTTTCCGATTTAGATCTACTCCGTATGGTCGCTCAAAGGATTCCAAGTTCCCGTAGCCTCCGCAATTCATGTCGCTGGTCTGTACTTCGTACTCGGAGATTCCAGTTCCATATACTCCGTATAGTACTTCAAATAGTACTCCGTATAGTACCCGGATGCTCCGTAGTTCCCGTGGCTTGCAGATTACAGGGGCGTGGCTTTCCTCAAAAACGCCCTGTCAGAGTAAATCAAGCCCGAGGTAGTTTATCTGTGACATCTGTGAACCCATGTGGGTCGAATTGAAGGTATCAGGTCGATCTTCCGTGGCACTGTCCCAGCGTAGTATGTCGAGGGTATCGGAACTAGTTCGATGTCGTGTCGAGGAAAGATGCCGTGCTCAGAAAGATTGCGACCGTGGATTTAGGAGGACCAGGGCTGACGCGGAAGTGCGTGGATGTACAGTACTTTCTTTCAAAATGGCAAGCAGTGCATATTGCGGAGTACCGTGACTTGCATACTCCCCTTCGCCACTCGAAAAAATACTTACCCTCCTTTCACCTTCCACCTTCCAGTTCCATCAGCTCCTTTATGAATTTCTTCTATCTGATCTGTCCATCTGCCGAACAGATCCCGTCATTCATCATTCCGTGGTACTGATGCCGACTGGAAGAAAAGAAAGAAAAAAAAACAGAAAAGCTTATTCCCGATATGGTGACGGAGCATGCCTATTCGTCGATCATCCTTGCCACCTCCGGCTGAGGACAACCAGTGACACTGCGCAGGAGACTCGGCAGCAGGGCTTTCTTTTCCGTCTTGAGAGCTGGGCGAGTCATCAGCCGCGACGCGGGGATCGTCCTTTGGTTCCGAAACACCTAGCCGAACAAGTGCAAACCTTGAGGCGCTTGATGAATCCGCATGCCCTTCCAACCCCATCCAACCCCTCCAAAGTGGGCCTTATCGCTGGAAAGAAGGCGGCAGATCATTTCACCCCCGTCCAATAGGATGCACTAGCGCTGTGAAAGAGATGCATTGTACATACTCCGTACATACTATCACTATGAGGGGGCGGTACAATCTCCACTCCTCCGTTCTTCTTTGAGAAATTTCTTGTCACTTTCCGCCTCATTTGATGCATAACGCGGTGTTCGACGTCGACCACCGCAGGACCACGGAGGCCGCGCAGATGATCCGCACCCCTTCCCTAGAACCAAAGCCATCCCAGCTGGTCGAATAATCAGGGACGGTCTGGACCAATTTACGGCCCGGATCTCGACGGTGTGGTTCCGAGTTCCACTCTATGAAAGGTTCCATTGGAATAGAGTGGTGGCTTTCAACCTCTTGGCTTGTATGGAGGGACAATAGCTGGAAGTGGATAAGGTCTCATCCTCTGGGACCTTGCGTTTCAAGACTCGGGACCCGCCGTTCGGTCAGGGATCAACCCTCCTGCCGCCGTAGGAAGACTGCTCCGCGTTTCGCATCTCTCACATGGGCCCTGTCATGCATGTCCCACTGGGGTCTCAAGATCGGGTCGGGTGGGTGCAGGGCCAGGGCCGCCACGCGGTGGGTTCTTTCTCTTTCGGCCTTTTTTTTCAGCCCTCCCTGTATAAGAAGTCCGTTTGTCTCACCCTTCTTTTGAGACTTCAACCTCTCTCATTTCTAACGGTGTCCAGTCCTTCCTTTGTTCTTCCGGGGTCGTTTGTACCTTCTTTTTGATTCACATTCCTTTCTTTAGGTCTATACTTTCCCATTCTCTTTGGACTGTATATTCCATACCCTTCTTTTATTACCCTGTGGGTAGTTTCAAGTCTTCGACATTTCACATATATCGGACTGCGTCTTTGATAGATTGCGTCCTATCATTCTCTCTTGACTTTTGCCTTTTGCATAAATCACCCCGGAATCATGCAAATCTTTAGTACTCTCGTTCCGAGCCTGGGTCTTTTGGCCCAGCTCAGCGCGGCTGCTTATACATTGAAAGACGACTACGGCACCTCTGACACGTTCTTTGACAAGTTCAACTTCTTCACGGTAAGTGAGGCTGTAGCTGGGATCTAAATACGGTCAATATCCAAATTCATATACTGACTGAACCCTTTGATAGGACTCGGACCCCACCAATGGTTACGTGAGCTACCTCGACCGATCGAGTGCTAGCAGCGGCGGTCTCATCAAGTCCGGCAACTCCGTTTATGTTGGCGTCGATACCGTGAACACCGCGAGCAGTCCTGGCCGATCGAGTGTGCGTTTGGAAAGCACCAACACCTACACACATGGTCTGGTGATTTTGGATCTGAACCACATGCCCGGCAGCGTTTGTGGCACCTGGCCTGCTTTGTAAGTCTTATGAACAATAGAATACCTCAGGTCAATTGACTAACCTTCCTTCAAGTTGGATGCTCGGCTCCGACTGGCCTAGCAATGGCGAGATTGACATCATTGAGGGTGTCAATGATCAGTCGGTCAACCAGATGACTTTGCATACCAGCGATGGTTGCTCGATCAACAACTCCGGTTTCAGCGGTTCCGTCCAAACCAGCGACTGCTACGTCAAGGCTACCGAACAGTCTGAAAATGCTGGCTGTGCTATCACTAGCTCCAGCACCAGCTCCTACGGGGACGGATTCAATAACCAAGGCGGCGGTGTTTACGCTACTGAGTGGACCGGTGATGCCATCAGTGTTTGGATCTTCCCCAACTCGAGTATTCCCTCCGATATCTCCAGCGGTAGCCCCGACCCATCTGGCTGGGGTACCCCTTCGGCCAAGTTTGCCGGCAACTGTGATATCGACTCTCACTTCAACAACCTCCAGATTGTATGTTCTCATTTTCTCATCTACGATGCAATATTCCTTGCTAATCCGGATCTATCAGGTCTTCGACATTACCTTCTGTGGTGACTGGGCTGGCGATACTTGGTCTTCTGGCACCTGCGCATCCAAGGCTGACACATGCATCGATTACGTGCAAAACAACCCTTCCGCATTCGACGAGACTTACTGGGGCATCAACTCCCTCAAGGTTTACCAGGACAGCAGCAGCTCCTCCAAGCGCGAAATCCACCCGCACGCTGCTGCCCACGTTCGCCGAGGCGCCAACGAGCCCATCTCCGACCCCAATGTCCGCCGTGATCCTTCCGACGTTCGTCCCGCGCCCCGTCCGACCTGGAAGCACCGCCGCAGCGGCTACAAGCACGGCCACGGCCACGGCCAGTAAGCGGCACAACCGGCGAGGAATAACGAAGCGCTTTTGATATGATATCAAGGTGATTTTGCTGGACATTGACTATTTTTTTTCACTTCTTGGTCGAGATCCGAGATCTCCTTTTTTGTTTGCTGGACATTTTTTGAACTATATTTCTCTTCTTCTGCTTGAACCTAGCTTGTTCTGCATCTGCGGTCTGTCTCTTTCCACTGGCATAGAGCGACCTGCATTTTTTCTTGACGATTTTTCACGATGAATTGGGCGATTGATCTTGATTGTACTTTAAATACCCCTTCTAAACCATTCGTTTATATAACAACCTTGGAAACATTTGAATTGCGATTATATCTCAATGCATTACTAGTACAAAATCCACTCCGAGTAGCATCCCTGGTATCAAGTCTCACTGGAAAAGGCAAAAGCCATCCTCTAAATCCGAGAACCAAAAAAAAAAGCAAATAGAGTGATGCAGTCCTCCATCCCGCTTAAAGATCACGACCTTCTAGCAACGACAGCAGTCTCATACGGCGTCAACCCACACTCTCCCTCGTCCAAAATAGTCAATTCCGAAAACGAAGACCGCCTCAATCGATCCTCATAATCCACCCAATCTACCTTCGGCCCCAACCACAGCACCATCTCAACACTCCCACAAAGATGACTATCAAGGTATCTCGTAATAAGCTTCGGGTCCCGCGGATACACAAACATCCAAGCCGCCGCCCGTCCAGCTTCGGAACAAAGACCCCACCCGCCGCCAACGACATGCATATCTTCCTCTGCGATGTACCGATTAACAGACGAGTCTACCTCCACCCCTGCACAGTGATACCAGCATCGTCGTTCGAGAGGAGAGACTCCAGTAATCCCGACCCGCTGCCGATTGAGAGGGTGAATTTTGGGGATTGGGGGAGGAGCGCGGAGAGGGTTTTGATGAGCGTGCTTGATAGGCCGAGGCAGCAGTCGGGGAATCTTGTTGGGATGGGAGTGAGTTGGGATTGTGTTCTTCTTATATCCATTGCTGCGTGAGAGATTTGATAATAGTAATTTTGCTTGTGGTGAATTTGTAGAATGCGGGATGCAGCATCGTTGGTGGGCTCGGTGGCGGATTTACCAAGTGGCCGAAGTATATGGACCCGCTTCGAGGGGGGTTTTTAACGGCTTGAAATAGCTAGGTGGGACGTCCATTGGCTGAAATGATTGAAATACCTTTGAGGGTTCAATTGCTTCGCAGCTAATCCGTTTTGGTGATCGCTATCCCCAGGACTGCCTGTGAGGGGACTGTGGTGGATACTTGTATCTGCTACCAGTAGTATTGACTACGATGTCAAAAGCATGGCGGAGAAGGTCTATTCTAGATCTCTACGTGGCTGATAAGAGATCGTCAAAAATCATCACATATATACCATTCATTATTGATGCCAAAATACATGACTAGTGCTTAAAAGGATCATATTCATCACATTCAAACTGGCGGCTTATACCCCAGTACATCCCTCTGGTCATCTGTGAGACGCCCCCATTCCAACAAGAGCCTGAACAAGTAAATCTCCATATCTTCCTTGCGCAAGGCAACGTCGGTCCATTTCCGTCCCTGGTCGGCAATCCATTTCCCCTGTTTTGTATGGGCTTCCATTCGCATCGAGGATGCCTGTTTGGGATCTTGCCCATCCATATTCGACATAGGTACACCAGAGAAGTATGCTAGCGTACTCCAAAGCCCATGGAGACGGATGTCGACAGGTACGAAATGTAGCCATGAAACCACACGTGAGTCAAACCACTGCCGGAAGAGTCCGGTACGGAAGGGTAAGCTGCGACTCTGCAAGAAAGGCAAGAAGCGGCCGCTGAACCCAGCGCCGTCAAGATCAAACAGGTATCGGTTGGACCAGTGGTTTTGGAAGTCGACCCAGGAGACGGTTCCAAGTTCGTCGCGCTGAGTATCGCAGTCTCCGCAACGTGTTATGGGGCCGGCGATGTGGACATTCGTTTCAAGGTGTAAGTCATCAATCGGTGCAGCGCCACTCATTATTTCGTATTTGTAGGAGCGACCGTCGACAGGAAGGAGAACAGATACTTTGTTATCGGTATTGTTGTTTATCAAATGGGCGAAGCGTTGCCTTGGAATTCCTTTCCATTCATCAAATCGACTGTAGCCTTCAGATGTGCTGCCCACCCAGTATAAAGAATTGCTCTTTTTTTGGTATTCCGGGTCTGGATACTCTTCAGATGGATTGTATTTCACCTTGTCCATGTAATTCCAGGGACTGGGGAAGAGGATGTCGTTAAACCCAGAAAGAGCACTCTGACTGAAAATCGGAACCAATTCTTGGGATACCTTGAATGAGGCGGGTGATATCAAAAGCCCATGAAGGTATGCGAGGTCCGGTTGATGGCAAAAGTCGGATGCCAGATTGAAGTCCACGGGGAATTGACCCATGGAATGGGGTGACACGCAATCGAGGCATATGTCATGCCGGTTCCAGATACGCTGGGTACGTGACTTTGAGGATGGCGGACAGACAGCACTCACATAACGATCGAAGATACCATTCCATGCACCATCAGTGAAGATCGTCTCGTTTGTTTGATGAATTGGGTCAATAGGGCCCCAACCGGATTGTCGATCTGATGACCAAGCATCCACAAGCTTCTCCTCGGGAACGAATTCTTGTGATTTCGCTTCACGTTTCATGGCCAAGGCCTTTTCCCACGGTATCGCCACTCGTGGCTCGTCATTCAAGTTGAAGACAATATCCATATCGGGGAGATATTCTGAAAAGTTTTCGATCATCTCCGCGGCTCCTTTTACCATCCATGCATGGGTTGGCTTGATGTCTTCTTGAACCTCGGGCTTTCCATTTCGAATACTGATTGCTCCAAGGTCATTGAACGGATTCGTCGCCAATTTATGTGTAGCCTCTCGGATAGATGCCGGGCTGAGAGCACGGAATGGAAGTATATTCCTGTAGATTTGATCGAACTCATCGATAATTAATGAAGATCGGTTGGTCGCATATTCGTACCATTTGCCAAACCCCCTAGACAGATGTTAGTCATTACTCGGGATTTCAGATCGTGAAGACAGATGATGAATACTCACGGAGGTGGATGCTGCTGATAACGCCTTCGATACTCCGAGACAGCATCCTGCAAAGACTGACTAGCACCAGCCTCAGCTAGATAATCTTCATATTGAATGTTTGCTTCGTGGATTAAAAGATCAATCGGGTGTTCGTGAGAAAAGTGGTGCTTGGTCGAGGCGGCAAACAAGCCAAACAGACAGAGAAGAACGACAAAGGCCTGCAGCAAAACATTTGTGCGGAAAAGTGCCTTGGACTCTTCATCTGAGATAATGCGGGAGAGAAGATATAGCACCGCTGCGATCGAAGACCCAATCAACGGCAATACAGTATGAGCCGTAGAGATGTAAGGGAGAGGCATTTGTTCCATCAATAGAACTGAAGTAGCCGAGAAGTAAATGAAAACGAAGCCTCCTAGGATTGACAATCCTAAGATCCCAAATTGGGGTAACTAGTGAAATTAGTATCGAGACATCTCTAAACAAACAGAGAGCACTTACCAATTGCCAGGCCGACACAGCCAAAAGCATTACCAGCGTCGCTTGGCTCAGAGCGCTTCGTGTGTATCTCGGATCCAGCAAAGACTGACCAGTAAACTCGGGACGGCTGTTTTCAACAAAAGAGCCTAAAATGGCCCAAAGCAGAGAAACACCCTAAGATGTATCTGTTAGACTATCCAATTCTATGCTTTTGAATGAACTATTAACTTACGACAAGACCTGCTCCTAAGGAGAGAATGGCTCTTTTTCGTCTATTGCCCTCAAGAGAATGGTTAGTTCGGCATAGCTCAGCAACCCCGATGATGGAAAGAGAGTCCAAGAAAACATTGAGGAGTCTGAAGGCCCGTAATCGCACTGCGCCGTGAAGAATTATGGGGCAAACGTAGGTGGATTGACCGCCAGCGTAAAAGGACGCGGCGGAATGGCCACTCAAAGAAAGGAACGTTGCAGCCAGAACTCCTCTATATCTGCTCTGTGTCAGATAATAGAAACCGCATCTGAAAGTGGAATGGACGGCTTGGATGGGTCGGCTCTTCGAGGGCTGAGGCGAGGGCTGAGGCGAAGCATATTCATTTTTCGACCGTGTTCGTTGATGTCGCCAGTAGTCGTATAAAGATATTAAGAAGGGAACGGTGTACTATATAATCATAGATGATTAGAAATCTGTGACAAGATCGCGACAGCCTTCTCTGAACATACAGAATATCCTGCTGGAGCGCATTCGGTATTAAGAGAGACTTGGCGGAATGTCTCAATCCTCAGAGAGCATGTGGCTACTAGCAGGCCAAGGTTGCACCAATACCGATATTGGGACGGCGCAGGTTCCTCTGGACCTCCTAGGATGGGGCTCGATGGAGAAGATATCGAGCTGCGCGACGAGAGTTCGAACTGCTCAGCAAGCGGAAAGCCGAACCGCTTACCAGTGGAAGATATCCGAGGCGTCGCCGGGAGGAAACGGCCTAATGCAAGAAAGACTGCACCGGTTATGAAGCACGCCAGTACGGCAGTACTGGCCGGACGGTCTGAGAGGTTAGCCTGTGGCACTTCTCAGACAGCAAGGGTGAGCCTACCGAAGGCGAAAGTGGAGTTGTAGGACGTAGTCAGAAAGAAGGAGCTTATAACAAACACCCTAGACAATCGAGAATTATCAGTTCAGCAGTTCCCTTAAGCTCCAGCTGGGGTTCGGCATGTAATGCCATCGCTGAAAGCTCACTTACCCCACACAGACCTTGAGTCCAGTTTCCGTAGAGAATGGAACCATTTTGCGCCGAAGATTTACCGGATCTGTATTGACTCGCAGCCCATTGCGCCCCGATTCGCAGTTGGAATCCGACTGTGAGGGCGGGATAGTATTCAGCGAAACGTGCGAAGAGCACAGGGAGAGAATTCCGGGACAGGACTCAAGGGACCCCAGTGGAACAGGGGATTGGCATTATCTGCGTGGCCTAGCCAGGATTTGATGGGCGATGGCTATTGGCTGGGCAGGTAATCAGGAGCGGCATCATGGTGGCTCCTTGGCGATCAAGTTGCGTCAACCGGGGCGTTTAATTTTCCTTGGAAGCATGCAACCATGGGCCATGTGCGTCCCCTCTATGACAATACAGGATAGTGTACGAAGTACCGCAAGCTAAGACCACCAATATAGTTAGCGTAAATAATGAGGCGCAAATTCATGCTTTCGCGGAGGGTAGTCCGGACCAGGTAGGCTTCATAGGTTTGCAAGCCAGTGAAACGGGTGGAGCCCATCAAATTAGAACCGTGCGAGCCGACTCCTTGTTTTCGCTGGGAATGTGCTTAAACAGCAAAGATATGCCGAAGTGGATCAGCATGCAGAATCAGGTCAATCGAAACTTGGCTCCCGTCCCTGCCCCAGCCGGCTCCACTTGGGGTCTGTCTTGACATCGCCTGTGCACAGACAGGTGTGAGGCGCACGCCATAACGGTGACATCGCATAGACCACAACTCGAATGTAGATATTGACCGTTGCATATCCGAGAAAAGAAAACGTTCAGGAACGTCGCGGTGTCATCAGAGCACGCGTCATACGTTGGGCGATTCGGAAGGGAGTGGGGATTTCCAGTTGAAATAAGGGTCTTATTTCACCAATTGGGAAGGGATCGATGGATCCTTGAGAGATGCCTGGTCAGCGATATTATGTCATGTCATGTGATGTCATGTGATGAGCAGTCACAATCACGTGAGTCTAATCAGGTAAATGGGTTTCAGTCAGGTGACCCAAAGAAGGCGGTGACACGAGTGAGACATAAGAGGAAGGCGGTCCTGCGCTGCAGTATGTGGTTCGGACCAGACCAGAAAAAAAAATTATAGCAATCCAAACGGGTCCAATTTTTTGTTGTTTAATTACCAGCAACTCGACTTTGGTGGTCATTCCCTGCGAAGCCACAGACTTGCAGGATCCGACCTGCTCAAGTCAATCTCATTCTTATTCCCCGCGATTACCGAACGGACAGCGAACGTCAAGCCCCGACCTATCTTGCGGTCAGCTCCGCACCTTCATCATGCCGCGCAAAGCGATTGACTCGCGCATTCCCGCCCTCATTCGGAATGGCGTCCAGGAGAAGAAACGTAGCTTCTTCGTGGTTGTTGGTGACCGGGCCAAGGATGTGATTGTCAACCTCCACTATATCATGTCAAGTGTCGATGTGAAACAGAACAAGTCGGTACTGTGGGCCTATAAGAAGGACCTTTTGGGCTTCACTAGCCATCGCAAGAAGCGCGAGGCCAAGATCAAGAGCCAGGTCAAGCGTGGTATTCGGGAACCGAACCAGGAGGATCCCTTCGAGCTGTTCATCACTCTCAATAATATTCGCTATGTCTACTACAAGGAAACCGAGAAAATCCTGGGTAACACCTACGGCATGTGTATTCTGCAAGACTTCGAAGCCATGACCCCCAACCTTTTGGCACGTACCGTTGAGACTGTCGAGGGAGGAGGTATGGTTCTACTACTGTTGAAGAGTATGAACAGCTTGAAGCAACTGTACACCATGTCGATGGATATCCACTCGCGATACCGAACAGAGGCACATGACGATGTGGTCGCTCGATTCAACGAGCGCTTCATCCTTTCTCTCGGAAGCTGTGACTCTTGCTTGGTTGTCGACGACGAATTGAACGTTCTGCCCATCTCCGGCGGAAAGAATGTCAAGCCGCTGCCCCCTCCCGAGTCAACTGACGACTCGAGCTCGGGTACCAAGAAGGAGCTGAAGGATATTAAGGAGAGCCTAGCTGAGACTCAGCCCGTGGGACCTCTCGTTCAGCTGGCTAAGACTACAGACCAAGCCAAGGCACTTTTGACTTTCGTCGATGCAATTGCCGAGAAGACCCTGAAGAGCACAGTGACACTTACTGCTGGACGTGGACGAGGAAAGTCCGCAGCTCTGGGTGTTTCTATTGCCGCTGCCATTGCCCACGGATACAGCAATATCTTCATCACGTCTCCTAGCCCTGAGAACTTGAAGACTCTTTTCGAATTCGTTTTCAAGGGCTTCGACGCCCTCGGCTACCTCGACCACGTTGACTACACTATCCTGCAGTCTACGAACCCTGACTTCAACAAGGCCATTGTCAGAGTTAACATCCACCGCAACCACCGTCAGACCATCCAGTATATCCAGCCCCAAGATGCGCATGTTTTGGGTCAAGCCGAACTTCTGGTTATTGATGAGGCCGCTGCTATCCCCTTGCCCTTGGTGCGGAAGTTGATGGGCCCTTACCTCGTGTTCATGGCTTCCACTATTAATGGTTACGAAGGAACGGGTCGATCCCTTTCTCTGAAGCTGATTCAGCAACTTCGTGAACAATCCCGGGGCGGACTCAAGTCCAACGATACCGATGTTGCTGATCGCAGCACCGGAAAGGCCTCCAAGAGCACAGACCAGAGCCTCGGTGGCCGCTCACTCAGAGAGATCACGCTCGCAGAGCCGATTCGTTATGCTCCTGGTGATTCTGTCGAGAAGTGGTTGAACAAGGTCCTGTGCCTTGATGCCACCCTGCCCAAGTCCCGCATGAACACACAAGGCTGCCCGCACCCATCGAAGTGCCAGCTGCTCCAAGTCAACCGTGACACCCTCTTCTCCTTCCACCCCGTTTCGGAAAAGTTCCTTCAGCAGATGATGGCCCTTTATGTTGCTAGTCACTACAAGAATACCCCTAATGATCTTCAACTCATGAGTGATGCACCTGCACACCAGCTCTATGTCCTTGTGCCGCCTATAGACGAGGAGGCCACGAAGCTTCCGGAGCCGCTCTGTGTGATTCAGGTCGCTCTGGAAGGTCGCATCAGCAAACAGAGTGTTCTCAACAGTCTGAGCCGTGGTCAACGCGCTGGTGGTGACTTGATCCCTTGGCTGGTCAGCCAGCAATTCCAAGATGAGGATTTCGCCGGTCTTTCAGGTGCCCGTGTTGTTCGCATTGCGACTAACCCCGAGTACACCGGAATGGGCTACGGTTCCCGCGCTATGGAGCTTCTTGTTGACTACTTTGAGGGCAAGTTCACTAGCCTGGACGAAGATATGAACCGTCCCCAGGAAGAGATGGTCCGTGTGTCTGATGCAGAGCTCACCAACTCAAGCCTTTTGGACGACAATGTCCAGGTCCGCGATATTCGCACCATGCCTCCGCTGTTTGGCAAGCTCACCGAACGTCGCCCCGACGAGCTTGACTATATCGGTGTCAGCTACGGTCTCACACCTACTCTTCACAAATTCTGGAAGCGCTCCTCTTTCGTCCCCGTTTACCTGCGCCAAACACCCAACGAGCTCACTGGCGAGCACTCCTGCGTGATGCTGCGTACTCTGTCTGCCGGTACCAACGATGCTGCTTGGCTCGGCGCATTCGCCCGTGACTTCCACCGTCGATTCCTGGCCCTCCTCTCCTACCAGTTCCGCGAGTTCCCCTCAGTCCTCTCTCTCAGCATTTGCGAATCTGCCAATGCGGGCGCGAAGCTGGACGCCGCCGCCGTGCAGCGCATTCTCAAGAAGGCTGATCTGGACGCTACCTTCTCTCCTTTTGATCTGAAGCGTCTGGACAGCTATGCCAACAACCTTCTCGACTACCACGTTATCCTGGACATGATCCCGCTCATTTCCGAATACTACTTCGCCAATCGCCTTTCCGGCAAGGTCAGCCTTTCCGGCGTACAGCAGTCTATTCTGCTGGCTATTGGTCTGCAACACAAGAGTCTGGAAGATGTTGAGAAGGAGCTGAATCTGCCTTCTTCCCAATTGCTCGCCATGTTCTTGAAGATCGTCCGCAAGGTCTCTACCCACTTCCGTGGACTGGTCGAAGGTGCCGTCGCGGAGTCTATCCCCGGCCAACAACTCGCTGCATCCCAGCCCGCTGGCGGTGCTCACGACGACGACATCATCGAGGACCGCTTCAAGCCCCTCGAGACCAGCCTTGACGACGAGCTCCGCGAAGGTGGCGAGGAAGTCAACGAAGAGCTGCGTGAGAAGCAGCGTGCTCTAATTGATTCCCTACCGTTGGACAGGTAAGCTCCCCCTTTCCCCCCCCTACTACAAAATTAGCCTCGAATGAACCATAATTGATTCCTAGTCTCCAGATACGAAATTGACAACGGCGCTGCAACCTGGGATGATGCCGAGAAGCAGATCCGTGGCGGAGGTGCTTCGACGGTTAGCATCAAGAGCAAGCCCTCGAAGCGCAAGAAGGGCGATACTGCACGGGATATCTTCGACAAGGAGGTCGACTCCAAGAGACAGAGGATGATCAAGAAGGGCACCGAAGGCCGCAAAAAATAGATGCACTGAGGGATTGATTTATTTCGTGTGTATGGGGTGGCGTTCTTTGGCATTTCCCCACGGTGTTCCTGTGACTTTTCTTCTACTTTACTGTACTCTACGGGGAGTGTGAGATCCAGACCTGTTCTGTTCTGTTCTGACTCAGACTGGCTGGGCCTTGCACTCTTGTATATATGAATGAGCTGATGGCTTTCTACACTATGACGGATTCAATGTAGATTGAAACATTTTAGATTCAGCTAGAATGCAACGGCTATTCATGTTTATAAAGCAACACAGATTTTACTGCTCTGCACTAGTCGATAATCACTTTACAGCTCGTCATGCTCAGCATCGGTCTCTGCTTTCTTTTCCTGGGTTTCGGCCTCGTCGCGAACGATACCCTCCGGTAGCTTCTCCTTGGCACCTTCTCCGAGACGGATAGCATCAACCCAGCTCTCAACGGCGACGATGCCGAAGTCCTCGGCATTGCCATATCGGCGCCACCATCCACGGCGGGCGTTGATGGCGATAATCTGTACACTTTTGCTATCCTCCAGCCCCAACGCGGTGCGCAGAGCCTGGGATCCAGTGTTGACCCCCGGCACCGAGTAAGCAGGGAAGAGGCGGGCGCCACGCAAGGAATGCTTGTACTCAATCTCTGCCAGGCTGGACAGAGCATTGGTGGCAGTGGATGGGAGCTCAGCATCTGCATCACTTGTTTCTGGGAGAAGAACAAGGACACAGGTGGATGATTTCGGGGCTAGGCAGGATGACTCCAGAGATTCCGCGGTAGCGAGGGTTGAGAGAGGAGGAATTGATTCGGGCTCTTGAACTGGCTTGGCTTCAGGCTCGTCATTTTCCTCCGATGGCTCTTCATCTTCGGTCTTTGGCTGCTTTTGTGGCTGTTTGGCCTTTGGCTTGGCCTTGGCCTTGCTGTTTGTAGAGGCAGAGGCGGCTTTGCCTGTGGCGTCTGGGTTTGGCGAAGCGAATTGGCCAAGGAATTCGAGGATGGGCTGCTTCTTAAGTTCGCCCTCATACAGCTGGACCTCCGCGTCGCTGCTGGGAATCACGACCAGCGCGGGGAATTCCGACACGCCGTATTTCTCCACAGAGGCGGATTCCTTGCTGCGTACCTGGGCAACATCAATGGCGCCGAGGAAGTCAACAGCCAAGGCGCGAATCAGGGCACTGGTGGTTCCCTTCTCTGTGAAAAGGATGGCCTTGGGTCGCTCCTCGTTTTGGCCCAGCCATTTGTCCAGGTCCTTGTCTGTGGCGCGCTTGACGTGGTTGGGGATTCGGTCGACGACTGTGTCGACAATAGCTTTGGCGGTTCGTGCGCCTTGGTAGTCCTCTACTTTGGGCTTTCCAGGTTTCTTGCCGGGTGTAATGATCTTCAAGGTCGGGAATCCTTGCACACCCATCTGGCCGCAGAAGGGTTTGTTTTCATCCTCGTCGCAGTTGATGGCAGCCACTCTGGCCAAGCCATTTAGGCTCGTGGCAGCTTTCTCATAGGCTGGTTTCAAGCTCTGGCAGTGACCGCACCAAGGAGCATAAAATCTGTTGGGGTAGGAGGGTGGTCGAGTTAGTGGGGAGGGATTTGGAGCAGAGTTGGAGGATGCGGGGAGAGCTCACTCGACGATCTATACAAAATGATGGATGATTAGTAGATAGCCCAATTAAGAGAAAGAAAAGCAAAAAAAAACCCCCGAATAAAAAAAAAATGGACAGCAATCTCACAGATGTATAATTCGAGTTGGCAATCAGCGAGCCATAAGTCTTCTGGTTAAGTTGAAGCACCGGGGACTTTTTAGTGTAGATACCATCGGCGTTGGCGCCGGCCAAAAGAGAGGCGACAAGCAGCAAAGAGCTGGGGGGGCAGCATGTTGAAGAGTACCTAGGTAGTGAAGTGAGAGGGAGAGGTAATGGAAACCGTCAATCCACTATTCGATAGAGCTTGACGATTGGGCTGCATTAATGGGGAGAGTGGAAAGAGTGCAAGGTGTCCTGAAGCTCTTGGCATGCGGAGAGAGCTTTTCTCTCCAATGAGAAGCTTTCGCCCTTTTTGGTTTTGCTACGGTTGTGCTCAGCAATGACCTCGTACCCCCGTGTTCAGGTTCAGGATGGTTATGGTCGTGACCTGGCATTTTTGCCACGGGACATTTTCTGGCTTGTCCTGGCCTACTTGACTCCACACGATCTGGTGCGATGCCGCCGAGTCTCGCGCTCTTGGAATGATGCCTTCGGCAACCCGGCCATCTTGGTCCCACTCATGAAAAGGCACTTCCCTCGCACTAGGGAGGTCAACGGGCTCCACGTTGGCCCCAGTATTAGTACTGCTACTGGTACCGGTACCGGTACCGCCACCGATCCGATCGAGATCCGCTCCCTCTTTGATCAGGTTGCCTCGCGTTATGATTATCTAGAACGAGGAAAGCCCCGCTCCGTTCAAAAACACCGCCTGTGTGACGACTTTGGTGCCGCGGGGGACCGTGAATGGTTCCAGGTCCCGCCATGGGAGTCGCACGCCAGCCATGTCAGACAATTTGTCGACCGCCAGTTCTCCGAGGCGCTGTGGACTCACGATCAAGATTTGCTGGTGTTTCCCAGTGCCCACCATCAATGTCTGGTACTGATGGACTTGAACAATGACCGGCAATTTACCGTCCCCTTTACCACCACTGGCAAAGTCGTACGCCGAGTCCGACTACAGAAGCAATTGCTAGTTGTCGAGTGGGCTGAACCAAAGGCCTTCCACTGGCTCAATGACAGCGACGGCGTACATCGTCATTTTGCCTCATCCTTTGATGTGAAGCCGAGTGTCGAGGACGACGGCTGGGAAATCACGGCTCGGAATGAGTGGAAGATTATGTTCCTCGGCCACCCGCTCAGTGAGCGAGACCGATTCTTCTCCTCCCATTGTAACACGCACTATGTGATTTATATTTGGCAGCCCAATCGCAGCCTATACACGGCCGACGAGGACGCGCCCATTGAATCCTTGTTTGTCTGGGATATCTCAACCCCGTCCTCCCACCGGCCCTCGCTCAATCCAGCAACAAAACACGAAGACTCCGAAGACGACAAAGCTCCTGCCATTGTGGCCCGCTTTGGCTTCCGAGACCTGGAATTCTTCGGCGTTCGACAGCGAGGATGCCCGAGCGTGCAGCGACTCGAAATCACCGACGATGGCCTAGCTGTGGAAATTACGGAAAATATCAATACCTGGTTGACAGTCCCCGGCCCGCTCGGCTTGCCCATGGCTGTCGTGACCAGCATTCCCATGCAAGGCTGTGGTCCTCATCGGCGGCAGGAGAGCAACTTAATACTCCCAGCTTACCGTGGCAACTGCAGCCTGCAAACGTCACCGATAACTGTGCTAGCGATCATGGCTGAATGTTGGTACGGCACCATCGCCCAGGTCATTGACCAGCAAGCCGGCGTCAGCTTCTGCCTACATTTTGATCCCGTCAAATGGGGCGAGGACCGAAGGGAGCCTGATCATAAGGATCAAACTATCAGCCTTACATATCAGGTCTTGGGGTCTTACGAAGAGCCTTCACAAGTGACCACGGCCAATCTGGACTTCACTGGCAGAGGGAAAATAAGTGGGTGTGAAAGATATCTCCTGGGCGAGAACTCTAATAGGGAATTGGTGATCTATAGATTCGACCGATGAACTCCCAGTTGCATGGTGTATCACATTCAACGACTTGTTGAATTCCTTGCACTGAGGCTGTCCAGCGTGTTGTTTTGCCTGAGTTGACCTCGGAAACCTTGCACTGTTCCTGTTCAATGACGAACCCGATTGACGAACCATAATGACTCTAAATTTTTACGATAGATATCAAAAGTATTGTGTGTGTAATGGTCTTCAACCAAAATTAAAAGCATGTGCCTTTTTCTTACCTGATACTCTGGTATAACAAACCTTGGAATCTAAATATAGTTACTAGTAGATAGCCGGCCATCTCTATATCCCCAATGGACACTGGTAGGCACTGGCAACTTGAAGTTCTGTATAAAACCAGGCTACAGATAGATAACCCGAGGCAATCAAGCCAGCAGCCTGGGTCTGTGAACAGTCTGATTGAATTGAATTTTAACTTGACGGGCTAAATGACCTGATTGAAGTCATTTTGAATAGAATAACTATTTTAACGCTCAGCCTAGCACTGTATAACAACAGGGGTCGTCAAAGATCGTCTGTCCGATCTGGGACATCAGAAACATGAATGGAAATGAGTGAATAGATGTGCCAGTGGAACACATCAAAGCAAACAAAGACACAGGGGCGACGCAGAAAATCATCCACCCAGCAAAAGATGCACCGATCAACTCAGAAATCAGTAGAAGGAAAGACAATGAGTGAAGGGATGGTGAGATGGGAAACCTATCAAAGCAAGCAGAGATATGAGGGAGGGGAAAGGAAGGAAAGCCAGATTCTCTTAATGGCAAAGACAATTCGAATGCATACCCCATCTTGACGGGAAATCAACCTTGTCAAAAATACATCCGTCGGCCATTTTTAGCCCTTCAAAATCTGCAGCAGATACATCTCTTGATGCCGCACGTTGAACAGGTCATCATGTAGATAGGCTGCCAGAAGCGGCAGACTGTACACTCCGGGAGACCGAATTCCTTGATCCATTCACAATGGTGAGAGCAGTTCGAGTTAGTAACTGGTGGTGCAGTGACTCCACTTTCCTGCTTTAGAACAAAAACCCATTCAAACATGATCTGGCCGATGATACCATTTACCTCCGTGGCCATATCCTCCAAGTTGTAACGCCCACTTCCATCAGCCAACTTGGCATTGAAGTATGGACAAAATGGCGCGAGAGGACCTTCGGCGGTAACAAGCTCGTGAAAATTTTCTAGGTCCATCGGGCTTGCCTTCTTGGTGGATGGTTTGCGGTTGATGCTAGGTCCTGGAAGGAAATGCTCAGTGCAGTCGTAGTGTTCGTCGGGTAAAACTTTGCAGTCAGAAAACCCATTCTTGTCCGTCTGAAGAGGAAAGCCGTGACCAGAACGGGGATCGTGGCCAGAGTAGTGAGTGGATGTGTGGGATTGACTGGAGGGATATTTCCAAGGGAATTCGAAGCTAAGAAGGCCATTTTCGTCCAATTCAGGAAATCCGGGATTGGTGTTTTGAATGGGGTCAAATTGACTGGAGGAGAACTGCCCAGGCATTTTCCACTTGGCAGCTCGATCGGCTTCGGTGGGTTGTTTAATTTCAGTGGAAAATTCCCGAGCATAGTTGGACGGCGCTCCAAAATCCGACAGAGTAAAAGCTTGACCATCATTTGACCATGGATCAAATTCATCAGCCTCCTCGAAAGCTGCATGTTGAGCTTCCATCTTGAGACCAGTGGCCTGGTTAGTTTCAGGGCCCTTTTCCTCAGTATCATTTGACCATGGGTCAAACTCATCAGCCTCCTTGGAATCTGCATGCTCGGTGTTCGCCTCGGCTGTAGTTTCGGCTGCCCACTCGGCTTGCAAAGCTATACTGCATCAGCTCGATCCTTGCATGTATTTGCTCCGGTTGAGTAGACCAGGATCATTGCTTACTTGCGTATTCCTCTGCCCATTGCTGTGCCTCTGCCGAGATCCGATCAGACTCTGCCTTGGACTCTGCAGAGTTGGGGTCCATATGCACACTTGAGCCGTACGAGTACATATAGCAGTCCTCTGGGCTCTTCAAGTTGAAGTTGAAGTCATTGTTTCTCCAAGGTCGCTTCGCCGCGGTCCAGTTTCGCCAGTCATCCTCGCGCTGGTATCGACGTGGCTGGCGTCGGTTATTGTTCTTAGAACCGCGGGAATCGTGTCCGATCACACGATCATGGTCAAAACGGCGCTGAGGATCGCGAAGAACCTCAGCTGCTTCTGTGATCTTCGAGGCTTGTTAGCACGTATGACTTTTGCTGCTGAGGTGACATACTTGGCGAAACTTTTCCAGAAAACATTCACCGCACTTGTCAGGATGATACTTCAGAGCCAACCTCTTGTAAGCAGCGTTGATTTCCTGGGTCGTAGCAGTTCGAGAAATGTCCAGGGCTGCATAGAAATCGACCGAGGCCGACTGAGCGAACATGCTGGCGGACTTCAAGTCGAATTCGGTATTACTTGGGGGAATTTTCAACAGCTCACACAAGCTTGTGTCTTTTCAAAGGTTTGACAGGGATAGAAATTCCCGTCACAGGGATCAGTTCGACGGAGCGAGATGGTGAAATGATAGAGAGCGATGTGTGGATGAAAAGAGAAGGTAAGGGTGAAATGTGAAAGGTAAAAGGCGAAGGAAGCAGTCACTGTCGACTGGCGGGTGCACAAGTGAGTGTCGTAGGAAGGAACCAGCAGCAGTAACAGCACTAGTGAATAAACCCGGTGTTGGAACCCCAGGCCAGTGCTAGTAACTTGATACGCACAAGTTAGCCAACCAGGCACCAGCCGGTACCAGACAGCGAGCTACAGGGCGATGCAAGTCGACATTGATATTACCAGGAATACATATGAAATTGAAATGGATTGACACTGATTTTACACAAACGGAGGGTCGATCTAAATATCAACAAGTCTACACCGGAGGCGACTTCATGCAGTAGAAGGAAACTTCTACAGGTCGGCAGAGGCGGTGGCACCGGTGATAATCTCAACCAGCTCACCAGTGATAGTGGCTTGACGCTGACGGTTGTAGAGAATCTGGAACCTGGGAAATTGTTAGTTTTAAGCTTCTTGGGCATAAAAGGCGGGAGTACACACTTGTTGATCATGTCACCAGCGTTCTTGGAGGCGTTCTCCATGGCGTTGCGACGAGCCTAAGAAAACATGTTAGCCAAAGAAAATGGAACTCGGGTAAGGTGGAAGTGACGGGTGAACATACGGAAATCTCGCAGGCGTGGCCCTCAGCCATGGCCCAGAACAGGTTGTTGGCAAGAGCGTACTCGCGGAGACTGGCAAGGGCCTCATCGTCAATCTCGAAAGCGGAGATGTTGGCTGTGGAAATTTTATTTAGCCTGAATCCTCATGGAGGCGGTCGTGGGTGAGCGCGCGAGCTCAACCTACCGGACTGGGTGATAGCCTCCTCGGAGAAAGCCTCGAGGACGGTGGCCTCGTAGCTCTGGGCGTTCAGGAAGCTGTTGTAGATGATCTTGACGCTGCTGTAGTCGGTGGGCAGCAGGCTGATCTGGTCGGCGATGGCCTGGGCATCGGCGAAGGTGGGGATATCCTTGCAGACGTTGGAGAAGGTCAGGAGGATCTTCTCCGGGGCGAAACGGGAGAGCTGGGCCTTGGCCTTCTCGCCGAGAATGACGATGTCGGCGTTGGGGTCGTTGGCCAACAGGCGGCGGGTGGCCTTGCTCAAACCGGAGTGAATACCACCGCAAAGACCCTTGTCGGAGCTAGCAACGACGTAAAGGGTCTTCTGGTCCTCCAGAGGCTTGGTCTCGGCCTGCTCGAAAACAGTGTTGGAGGTCTGACCGTAGGCGCGGGACTCGTCCATGGCCTTCTGGGCACGGGTAAGACGGGTGGAGGCAACAATCTTCATGGTCTTGGTGATCTTCTCGATGTTCTTGATGGACTTGAGACGGCCCTCGATCTCACGCAGAGTCGCGAAGTTGGCGGCATTGGGCGGGGCGGTGCTTTAGAAAGGTCGAGTTAGCAATCGAACGAGTTTCGAGTTGTTTCGAGAGATCATTGAGTGCGAATATGGTGACATGGAGCTGCATTGACAGTGTTTTTTTCCGCTCCTTTGCGGGTATCGGGATAGAAGGAACTGGCGCCACGAGCGGGCATCGGAAGAGAGACTTACCGAGCGATGGCAGCGCTACCAGCCCGAACGGCCGGGCGAACGGCACGAGAGAACATTATAAAGGAGTTGAGAAGGTTAGAGGGGGGCAGGATAATCTGCGGGAGGAGGGAGGGAGAGAGGGCCGGGTGGGTGCAAGAGATACAGAGACCGCTTTGGCTTGAAGAGGAGGACGGGAAGGTGCGAAGTTGAACTCCTGGCCGAGTTGATGCGCTAAACCGAATTAGGTAGGCATCTACGGTGCGCCGTTCCGGCTTCTACCGCAGAATTCATAACATACTGGGATCACGTGCCCTCGCCCTCTTGTCTGCCTGAGGTCAGCCCCCAGTTGAGCTGGACTTGGTTGGGGTTTGGTTTGGTTTTCCTACATTCCCTTCCTCATCTGCCGGTCTCTACGACTTTCCCTCTTGCTGGTTACTTTTCCCTTCCCTTCCCTCCCTGACTTGGGTCGTGTATGAACTCCCATCCTCTTTCCTATCCTATCTATTAGCATTATTGATGCTTTCTCAATTCTTAACATTCTAACTGTCTTATCATTGGTCAGAATTTCCCTGATTTCATCATCCGTCTACTTCAGGCGGCTCGGTTTGCCCGACTAGGCGCACGAGGACCGCTTCCCTACTTCGCCCCCAGCCCACTTCGTTCTTTCTCGCGCTTGATTCCTTTCGGAGCTACAACCGCCATCATGAGTTCCTCAGAGGATGATATCCCGCTTTCGCGCGCGAATGGCCGTGGTAAGCTTCCCCATGTCACTCCGCTGGCAGGTGTACCCCTTCGGCTCTTATTCCTGCTTCGCCAATTCGCTTCCATCTGAATTACAACTCATTTTCTCGTCTTGCTCTCACTTGGGCGCATTACCCTCGTCAATCACCTTCGTTTCATCTTATCTCTTGATTGCGCCATCAATTTAAGCTAACATGACGATTCCTCCACCCCCAGTTGCTCCTCATTCGACGAAACTTTCTGCGAAGGCATCTCCTGCCGGAACGAACGGCACCGTTGAGCCCGGCGTCTCAATTCGCTTCGGCCCCGTACAAGATAAAGACGTGGATATGGAAGATGCAGATGCCCATGGCGTGAGCAAGCGCAAATCCCGCGCTAGTATCGACAATAAGAAGACCTACGCTGAGCCAGAGAGCAGCGATGAAGATGATCAGCCCTTGGTACGCAGCGTCATAGTCGCAAATTGACCCACAGTCTCCCCTTGCGACCTTGTTGTCGCTCTTGGTTTCGGCGACTGACCATTCGATAGAGCAAACGCCGACGAACTTCAGTGAAACATGAAGACCCCGAAACCGACGAGGACGTCCCTCTGGCCCTGAACGGACGAAAGCTCCCGAAGGCTTCGGAAACGGCCATTGGCGAGGAGTCCGATTCCGACGCTCCGATTGAGAGGAGACTCTCTGCGCAGAAGAAGAAAATCGAGCAAAAGGCCAAGAAGGACGCTCCAGCCGCGCGCAAATCCGCCGCCTCCGCGAAGGCGGCCAAACCTGCTGTGAAGAAAACCAACGGTGTCAAGAAGGAGGCCGCAGATGACAAGTCCGCCATCAAGAAAGTCAAGGCCCAGCCAGCTTCTCCCGCCGTGAAAAAGGGCAAGGGCGCTGTCAAGGCCGAAAGTGAGGACCTTGAAGAGAAGGAAGGTGAGGAGGATGAATACCGGTGGTGGGAAGACCCAACCAAGGGCGATGGCACCAAGAAGTGGACCACTTTGGAGCACAATGGCGTGGTCTTCCCTCCGGATTACGAGGTGCTGCCGAAGAATGTGAAGATGAGATACGATGGAGTGCCCATTTCACTGCAACCTGACGCTGAAGAAGTCGCCGGGTTCTTCGGAAGCATGCTCAACTCAACCCACAACGTCGAGAACCCTACCTTCCAGAAGAACTTCTTTGCCGATTTCAAGGATATCATCAAAAAGACTGGTGGTGCAAAGGATCCCCAGGGCAATAAGGTTGATATCAAGGAATTCACCAAGTGTGACTTCAAGCCAATCTTCGAATACTTTGACGCCAAGCGCCTCGAAAAGAAGAACTTGCCTCCTGCTGAAAAGAAACGCTTGAAGGCTGAGAAAGATGAAGAAGAGGCTGCTTACCAATTCTGTACATGGGATGGCCGTAAGCAAAAGGTCGGCAACTTCCGTGTTGAGCCTCCCTCACTTTTCCGTGGTCGTGGTGAGCACCCCAAAACAGGCCACGTCAAGACTCGTGTCCAGCCTGAACAAATCACCATCAATATCGGCAAGGAGGCCAGTGTTCCCCCGCCTCCGGCTGGGCACAAATGGAAAGAAGTGAAACATGATCAAGAAGGCACATGGCTAGCCATGTGGCAAGAGAACATCAACGGCAACTACAAGTATGTCATGCTGGCTGCCAATTCTGATGTCAAGGGACAGAGTGACTACAAGAAGTTCGAAAAGGCGCGAGAACTCAAGAAGCATATCGACAAGATTCGCAAGGATTATTCGAAGAACTTGAAGAATGATCTGATGGTCGAGCGTCAGAAAGCTACGGCTGTATATCTCATCGATCAATTCGCCCTGCGTGCCGGAAACGAAAAGGGTGAAGATGAAGCTGAGACCGTTGGCTGCTGCTCGTTGAAATATGAGAACATCTCGTTGAGGCCCCCGAATACCGTCGTTTTCGACTTCCTTGGTAAGGATAGTATTCGATTCTACGACGAGGTCAAGGTCGATGCGCAGGTTTTCAAGAACCTCAAAATCTTCAAGAAGGCACCCAAGAAGGATGGTGACGAAGTTTTCGATCGCCTGACGGTATGTTTACCCTATCTTTCTGATGAAGCTTTTGACATAGTATGACTAATATGGAGGTATTAGACTTCGGCCTTGAACAAACATCTTCAGAACTACATGCCTGGCCTAACTGCCAAGGTCTTCCGTACATACAATGCCTCATACACCATGAGCAGGCTGCTCAAGGAAATCAAGGCCTCCGGTAACATCCCGGAGAAGATCAAGACCTACAATGACGCAAACCGCAAAGTCGCCATTTTGTGTAACCACAAGCGTACCGTGACTGCTGGCCACGCCGGTCAGATGGAGAAGATGAGTGAACGGGTAAGTTGACTCATATTGGTTGCCAATGTCGGTTCGTGCTAACTCTTTGTTTTTCACAATAGATCAAGGGGCTTCGCTATCAGAAATGGCGTTTGAAGCAGCAGATGCTCGACCTCGAGCCAAGTCTCAAGAAGAAGAAAGGTGCTGCTTTCTTCGAGATTGATGAGGATCTCGACAAGGAATGGATCAAGGAGCATCAAGCTTTCCTCATCGAGGAACAGACCCAGAAGATCAATAAGAAGTTCGAGAAGGACAACGAGAAGCGAGTCGCTGATGGTGAGAAGGAAATGAAGGCCTCTGAATTGAACGAGCGTCTGGAGGTCGTCAAGGATATGGAAAAGAAATTCAACAAGGAGAACAAGACCGGCAAGGTTGAGGCTGAGGGTCGTGGCCCGACCGTTGAGAAGATCGAGGCCAACATCACCAAGCTCGATCAACGTGTCGACACCATGTCAATCCAGGCCCAAGATAAGGAGGACAACAAGGAGGTTGCTCTCGGCACCTCGAAGATCGTGAGTCAATCCAAATTGTTGACAAGAGTGAGCACCTGCTAACATTCCATTCACAGAACTACATCGACCCTCGTCTCACCGTCGTCTTCAGCAAGAAGTTCAACGTCCCTATAGAGAAGTTCTTCTCAAAGGCCTTGCGTGAAAAGTTCGAGTGGGCCATCAAGTCTGTTGAAGAAGACTGGGAATTCTAAACATACCGCCACACCGACCATAGACTCTGTTGCTGGCATTTATCCGATCAAATTTCGTTTGCACAGTCGGGATTGTCTGGATTTCGTTTGTTCTTCTATTTCTCGTTTCCTTTTTCCCTTTTTTGAAAGTTTGCTTCTTCGACCATCATGGGTTCTGGCGAAAGCCAGCAAACCTGGCATTTCTTTTTTACTTTTCTGATCAACCCCATACGGAACGCGCTACGACCAGTCTCGCAAATTCCGGAAAACGAACAGTGAAAAACAAAAACAAAAAGAACAAAACACACCCGCAAAAAGATCAGAAAAATACGCAGCTACAGTTGATACGGTGACCTGATCTTGATCTCGGATTCGCACTTCTCTAGTCATCAGGATTGTCTCTTGCTTTCCAAGGTTCCTTGGTTTGTTCATAGAATCTATACAGAAAGATCGCAATGTATTCTATCTATCATTCGTGTTATTCAGCTCTTTTCCACGGTAGTCCAATGTAGTGGTATATACTCCAAGTCCCTTTGAAAGAGGATCAATTCCCATTTTCAGGATTACAAGGTTTTGACCGTCGTTTTCAGGGGTGGTTTACCCCATCACATAAGTACCTCGGCGCTTATCGTACTCAAAATTCATGGTTCGTGGTTCGGGGTTCCACAAGAACGTGGCATGCACGCTGCATGCATCTAATGCAGGTCACACTGCAGGTGATCCACCTTGCATGAGTGGCGGCTCTTGTTTGTATCTCTGCTTACCTAGGTATGTACGGAGTAGATACTATGGAAACCCAATTGGATCTGAATGCCTATTAGTAACTTCAGGTCACCTACTAGCGACATTCGTGTACATCTAATGGAGTATTCGACTACTAGTGCCTGAGTGAATAAGTAAACCGCTTTGCAGTTGCCATTCTCATACCTCTTGTCTGTCGCACCTGCCCAAAAGGATTCGGCATCTCTTTTGCATCTTCTTCACCTTCACACCTCCATCTTCACCTCCATCTTCACCTTCATCTTCACCTTCATCTTCTCCTTCCTTCTCCCCTTCCAGCTTCCCCTTCCAGCTTCCCCTTCTAACTTCCACTTTCTACCTTCCACTTTCTACCTTGCACCTCTTCTACTTCTTTTCTCGATCACTCTTTCCTAAATCTACTCTAGGGTATCCTCATTCATCTCTTTCTTCCTACTATTATCCACCACCCCTCAATTCACCTCTCTTCTCTCGGCTTTACTTTGAGTCCCGCGATCGTTCATGGTGCGTTCCACTTCAACCAAACGGATCTTACTCCCATCGCATCACGAAAATACCTGCTAATAACCCCAAGATGGCAAACACTCGCCCGCGCTCTGGGCGCGAAAAAAGCGAGGACCATCTAGCTGATATGGTTGATGATGGGTTCTTAAAAAAGAAACACGCATACAACAAATTTCTCGCCTTTCTGGATTTCAAAGACGAGTCGGTCTTCAGCGCTTTCCGCCGCAGACTGGAAAGCTTTGCGGATCAGCAGGACTTCAAGTGGGGTGATATGGATGGCGACGAGTCCAAGGCGCGAGATGCCTGCGCCCAATGTTTTCTCTCTCAATTTGGGAAAGAGTATTGGGGGGACGATGCTGACAAGAGGGAAAAGTACCTTACCCCCAGCGAGGGGCCGGAAGATAACTTCAAATGGCCAAAGGATAGAGACCCGTGAGTGGTAGTATCCTACCCTTGCTTTTGCTTTTCGTTTACGGCGACGGGCATCTACTCATTGAATTTCTATTAGGATTACCAAGGCAATTGTGATACTGCTTTGGAAGATCGCTGGGGGCAAGAGCAAATTCAAACGTGAATCTGGTGTTCCTCCGGTACTTTCCTCAATCCTACCCAAATTTAGGCCCCATGTTGTCTTATATATCAATGCTAACAAACCTTAGCCCACAAACACACGGCCAACGCAGACGCCGCAGTCTGCCCGGCCACTCCAGCGTACCCAGGCAAGCCAGCCAACTCAGCGGAGCCAAACAGTCCAACAAAGTCAAGCCAGCCAGCTCAGTCGACCTGGTCAACCTAGTCAGCCAACCCAACCAAGTCGCCCTAGTCTGCCGGCCCAACAGAATCGACCAAGTCAATCAAGTCAGCCAATTCAGGCTGCGAGGCAACGCATACGTGCGCAGTCTGCGGAGCCGGAGACTCCGACTCGAATCAAGAAGGATATGTCGGCCTCGCCAACCATTGTCAAGAAAGTCCCTATCGGCAACTTTTTCGGCGCTTTACCTTCAAGCTCTCGTGGTCAGGTCCTGGCTCCTCCGGCTCAGGCTCGGCCCAAGCCAGTTTCAAAGCCCGGTACGTTTGACAGAACCCTCTCAGATAGTCCTTCACAGATAGACCCTATTTCACGCTAACCATGCTTTGGAAACAGTGAGGATTGCCTTTCCCGAAAACCCTGGTTCCCATGACCAGCGAACATACTTCTTAGTCCGAGAAGAGCGGTCCCCAGCAAAAGCACGGTCCATCCCGTGGCAGATGTTCAAGACTAGCTCGGATCTGATCGATCGCATGGTGTCCGAGCTGGCCCTTGGAGAGGACCCTAGTGAGTGGCAGCTGCATTACGAACTCAATAATCAGTCCCGATATTCATGTGCGGTCGTCCATCTCGTGTGGGCAGACCTGAAATTTGTTATCCGGCAAGATAATGACAGGGACCTTCAAGAGCTGGTGCGACATGTTGGGTGTGCTTGGCATGCCGATGAACAAGGTAAAATCTCCAAGGCGGAATTCCGTATTGAGGTGACCTTGAAGGAGTAGGAGAAGGAAGGATCGGGGGATGACAGAGTGGATTGACAAGGTGTTACAGGGGGAGGGATAGATTTGATGCAATTTAATTTGGTTCAGATATTAACAGAGAGCATAGTGCCGATGGATAATATCAATCATGGAAAGGCAATATCAATTCCACAACCCCGGAAATTTCAAGTTTGGATCCCGGCGATCTTCCAACCCAGAACCATGGGGCAGCAACCAGGGGGGGGGGGAACACGACGTCACTTCAACTTGGACGAATTGTAAATCTCACTCCACTGGTGGTTCCACTTAAATGCGCGACTATAGATCAACGGCGTCGTGAGGTGGAGGAACTAAAGGGGACTAAACCAGGCTAAAAAGGGGAGGGGGGTAAGCAAGCGCATTTGCGATCTTCCCGAATTTTCTAGCGATGGGACTGAAGTGGACACAGCGGGAGGTTCGCCCCGTGGGAGACTCTCGCACTTTACTCTTTTCCCTTCCCCCTCCTTTCTTTTCCTCAAGTCCACAAGTTCACCTCTTTTCTTCCCCTTTTTGTGCCCTTGTCCTATCATGGCTGACGCCAATAAGCCTGCCGTTTTGATCATTGGGGGTCTCGGTGTGTATCCCGATATCCGATTTCAACTTCCGATTTCCCCGCCTCCTGAAAGAACCAAGAACCAAGAACCAAGCATTAAGAACCAAAGCTGACCGTGTCCCTCTTCTACCCCCTAGGTTTTATCGGTCGCCATCTTGCTCTCCACATCCACGAGAACAAGTTGGCTTCGGAAGTTCGCTTAGTCGACAAGGTTCTCCCACAGTTGGCCTGGCTAGCCCCCGAATTCGAAGAGGCATGCTCCAAGGAAAAGTTCGTGCAAGCGGACGCCAGCCGCGAACGTAAGTGGCGCTCAATTTACCCCTCCAACAAATATCACCAAACATCACTGAGGGGTTGAGAATCTTGACGTGCAATTAAAATTAAAATTGGAAAAACAAAGGACAAAGGACAAAATGACCTGCCTACTAACAACACTCCTACTGCAGAGCACCTACCACGTATCTTTGATCGATCCAACGGCGAACAATTCGACTATGTGATCAACTGTGGCGGCGAAACACGACACTCACAGCCAGACGACGTCTACGAAGCGCGCAGCTGCAATCTGAGCATTGCCCAGGCAAGGAAATCGCCAAGCGAGGCATCAAATCCTACGTCGAGTGCTCGACCGCTCACGTCTACAAGAGCGGATCCTCGCCGCGCAAGGAGCTCGATAAATTGGTGCCGTGGCACAAGCTGGCCAAATGGAAGCTCAAGGCCGCGGATGAGCTGCTGAAGATCGACGGCCTGAACTACTGTGCCCTGCGACTGCCGCACGTCTATGGCGAATATAACTCCGGCTACTTCGCCATGGCGCTGTGTCTGGCTCGCGTGCATCTCGAAATGGGTCAGGATCTCGAGCTTCTCTACACCAAGGATGTCAAGGTGAACACGTTGCACGTCAAGGATGCTGCGAGCGCCCTGTTCCACGCTGCCGAATGGCGGGCCGGACGAACGGCTTCTTCGGAGGGAACCCCGCAGATGTTCAAGGACACTTCCGTTCCCTGGGCGTTTAATGTTGTCGATCATAACGACACCCGGCAGGAACACGTTGCCAATGCCCTGTCCGAGGTATTCGGCCTCAAGGTCTCGTTCATCGGATCCCTCGTCTCGCAGCTGGCCAAGATGAACCTTGATGATGTTGTCGACGAGATGAACGAGGTCAGCCTGCAGGAGTGGGCTGAACTGGTGGAGAAAAGCAAGATCGAGCGCCCGGGCCCCATTGGTCCCTTCCTGGAGCGTGATGTCCTCAAGGACCAGGATATGTCCATTGACGGCTCACTGTTCGAGTCCACCACGGGCTGGAAGCCCAAGTATGAGCGTTTCAACGCTGACAGTGTCCGCGCCATGGTCGACAGCTACAAGCGCATGGGCTGGTGGCCATGAAGCCTCCCGACCTAAAAGCGTTGCCGGTCTATTTTCGATGGTTTTTGAACATGGACAACTTCACGGTCTTGTTTGGTCGGAAAAAAATTCCCCATTTTCGACATGCCCATGCACTCACAATTTGTTTCTGCAAAGTGAGGAACCCATTTCATTTGCACCTTGCACCTCGCACCTCGCCATGAATCTTTTGATGATTTCCTTCGTCTCCCCCTAAGATACCTCTTCTTCTCTCCCAGGCCTTCTTTTTTTCTCTCAGCCCCTCACCCCCCCCCCCCATCTTCGTCAAAATTCGAACGAACCAGATACAATCCAGTTTCGCGCTTGCTGGGCCTGCCGTCGTCCTGTAATACCCTTTCTCTCTGGTCGGGATTTTTTTTGATTGTCTCTCTATTTTCGAATTTTTCTCTCTTCTTTCACATCTTTTTCTTATACTTCTTGCATATATCCTGTTGAATCATTCCTTTTCTCGAGTTCTCATCGTCACAACCTTGGTCTCCAGCTTTCCCCCGGGACTCGCTTGACCAATCCTGCATTTGCATATTGAGCCTTGCACCTTCTTTTCTACCACGTCACGTCTTCCCTCCATATAGCATCGTCATATGTTGGCATATCATATATCCCTTTGAACTGCAGTTAGTTTAGACATCGATTAGAGAAATTAACCCTTTTTTTCGGTCAAAATTGGACCTGTAGTACGTTTACGTTGCACATGCCTATTCCAAGGCTCTTCTGCCTGTTCATTCATAATGTAAGCTTTCTTGGATTCGGGTTGCAAAGCTATGCAGGGTACTACTACTAGTAGTACCAAGGACTTGTAACAAAATGAATACAAAACTCATTCTACCCGCGGTGTAACTATGTTCACGCGGCTAAAGGTTGGAATCGTAGTACAGGCAAAATTAAACACTGGTATACTTTCTTCATGACGCGCCTAGATACTTCAGCGAGTTTCTCAGTTCCTTGATTGCCGTGTCAACATCGTCGAATGTCAGCGCGGATACCGCCCAACGAGCGTGCTTCTGCGCCTGGGTAATAGAGTTGTCATCTATCGAGTGCGAAGGTTGGCTCGGGGCAGCGGGTGCAGGGGCTGGAGGGGGAGGAGCAGGTGCCCTTGTTGGGGGAACTGATGGCGACGCAGCCGGGGGTGGGATATAGGCGCTGGCACTTGTAGGATCATAGAATGAGGCCGGGTCTGGAGCAGGGACGGAGGGGGTGTCGGCCGGCGGTGGGAAAGACTGGAAGGCGTTTGAATTGCGTGAAACATAAGAGGCAGAGACGTCCGTAGACCCCGGCGTATCTGGCAGCTTTGGGAGAGAACTTGAGCCACCTATCGTGCCGGGAGTTGAGGGGAGGTCGAGGCCTCCTGATTGCGGGTCGTCGATGTCCATCTTCTGCGTCGGGGGAGAGCCTGGCGCGTTGCTTGGGACGGAAGGAATGTCAGGGAGAGAGGATTCTTGCGGGCGTGGCATCGAGGATGTTCGGGATGGGTGGAGTGACTCGTCCAGAGATGATTGAAGGGCCATATGGCGGCCGAGACGATCTGCTTCGTCGGGGATTTCCTCGACGGAGGCCTGTCTTAGCTTGGAGGCCTGCTCCGCCACGCCTTCGTCGAATGCTTGGATGTCGGGGTCAGCCACGGTAGCTTCGTTCTCCTCTTCTTTCTGTGGGGTCGGGTTCGAGGCATTGGGGTCTTCGCCGGCTTTGATCGCTTTCACAATTCGAACCGCGTGGTACTTGGCGAACTTGATTCTCCCCGCAATCTCCGAGTCCAGGTCTCCCCATACCTGGCAGAGCTCAAGGAATATCGCAGCTGCCTGGAATGTATCCGCCGTTTGTCTGGAAAGTTCATGTTAATTCTGAGTTCTGTCGATGAAGGGCTACGAATGTAGAGCTCACTTGGTAACTTTGTTGGCGGTCATGGCCGCCTCTGCGCGGTTGAATACCTCCAGTCCGAATTGTTCGACATAGGCACTGGCAGCAACCTCGTCCGTGACAGTTTCATTCTCTTGGTTGTCGCTTTTGAACTAATCGCCATTTATAGAGTCAATAATCGGCTTTCCACAACTGCCATCGCCACCAGGTTAAGGTTAGGCGGGGAAGATATGACAACGAACCTGTTCCAACTTTTCCACGAGGTCGGTTGTATAAAGCTTAACCTCATCATCGGAATTATGAAGGCCTCGCTCAATTATTTGGTTCACAATATGAAAGTTGCCTAGTGCATTAGGGATGCGGTCAGCTCGGGTATCCCATGGCGGGGGGCATAAACACTCAACTCACACCAGTAAGCCACGACAGGTTTGGCCTTCTCAATCTGCGCTGCCCTCAGGGCAAACCGCCCGATATCAGCGGTTCTCAGTGAAACAGGAATATTATTCGCCATGGTGGAGGGGTTGAGGCTAAAAGGAGGAGGAGAAGCTCTGGGCAGATGACGTTTGGAGCTCGGAGAACCCACCGCCCGTGCGGAGACGGCCATACAAACTAGCCTCCTTCTGGTCTACACTTGTGTATGATTGATATGAGTGACTAGGATGATATTTACGTCGTAGTATTACCTAGCTAATACAATTATTAGCTGATTCCCTTTTTGAATATTAGATACAGCAGCCCATTACTCACTGGCATGATATACCTAGGTATCCATGCAACAAATTACTGCCAATTCGCATCATTTCTCAGTTAGAGTTGAACTCCGAAGGCCACTTCGCCTCGGCTTCGTCACTATAGGTTTCTCAGCCTTCTTTTTTTTAACAGAAACCCCATCAGATACCCTCGCCTTCTTGCATTTTACCGAGGATGTATTCGTTACCGTGAGTCGCTCTCCCTTTGCAAGCATCGCCACCAAAGTCGCGATCTTCTTACTTCGCGCCGCCGGGGACGATGTTTGAACGCGCCACAGCACAGAATACCGATCACTCTTATTCAACGATTCAAAGAAAGCCTCCGCAACCGAATTCTCCTTCAGAACCGTAGCGAAGTCATCAGGGACCGTTATAGTCGCGGGCCCCGCATAAGCACGCTCCCAGCGCCCATCAGCCTTCGCAGCCTCCACAGCAGCCAAGCCAGCAGGGCGTATTCGGCCCATTTCGATCAGGCGACTGATCGTATTGACATTCTTCTGGGACCAGATACTCTTTGCCCGGCGTGGCGTGTATCGTACAAGCCACCAGTCCTGATCGAATCCGTTTGCGCGTCCGTCAATCCAGCCGAAGCATAGTGCTGTTTCTACGGCTTCAGCGGCGGATATTGACTTGATGCCGGAGGCCTTTTTGGCAAGTTTGAGATAGAAGCCTGGGCATTTTAGGTGTTCGTGTTCGAGGAATTCTTCCAGGGCTGAGGCGGCGGGGAAGGCGTGGATTGGGAGATCGGAAGGGGGTGGTTTTGATGACATTAATGGGGGTGAGGTGGAGAAATGTAAGTGCTTGGGTATAAAATGAAACAGACGAAATGCCTTGGGACAAATGAATCAATCGTGGGCTTGAAGGTTTGAAGACGTTCATGTTGGTTGGAAAGTGGCTGTGGTTATCCCAGCATCCAGATAGGCCATGACACTAGGACAGAATAGGAAACCGAGGCACATTTATTAGGCAACTTTTAGGAAAATGTTCAAATGTCCTATCCGTAATTTGCGTTTGATAAACTTCAAATAAGAAAACAAGTTCTATGGTGCCGTTGGCTAAGCTGTCGCTAATTTAGTCTTCAGAATATTCTGGGCAATTTCGCCTGGAAAACCTTGAATACTAGAGGCGTGAGTCTATGATCACTTCATACTATACACGTCTCCCCAGGCGAGGTATGCAAATACCGTGATTTTGAGACACACCCGTGCTCATGGATCCTCTACAATCCATTCCCCGACCTCAACCCGCTCCTCTGATAATACCTCCACTTCAAAATGATCTTCCACTTGTCCTCCCGGGCCTCCAACCCGTTCAATCACAATCCACACCTGGTTTTGAAATTCCAGACTAGGGGATAAATCAAAGTCTTCCACTCGCACTCCCGATGCTGCGTCGCAATAGCTTCCGTCTTCTGAAGCAGCCAGTACCTGTTTGTAGGGACCCTGGCCGAGTTCCACAGTCATCAATACCGGCGACGGCGCGACGGAACGAGACCCAATCTTGGACAATTTATTTCTCGCAACGAGCTTCAGTCGGGTCAAGCGAGACGTCTGCAGAGAAGCCATCATTATATCTTTGCCAGGGTGGAGAACACCAACGTCAGATAAGGTCACTCGACGGCCAGCAGATTCGGAGGCCAATGATTGCACGGTGCAGGGGATGTCAGATGAGATCCATAGCGTGAAGCGACCAATCTGGTCTGGTGCAAAGGTCGAGCACACGAGAGTGTATACCCCCTTCCCAAGAGACTTGGTTTCGGCCAGGGCACACCCGCGACGGTAGTCACCACTGTCGGCTATGATGTCTCGATTGCGCACTTTTGAAACGCGTTGGCCATTTGACCAGAAAATCTTCACGTGGATTGCGAGTTCGGCTTCATCTGACTCTAGGAGGATGGATATATCCGTCTTCTCGGATACCTGCAGGCTGAATTGAGGGTTGAATGAGTAACGGGCCGACTCTGCGTTTCCGCCGGCTGTCAAGGAAGTCCAGGAACCGACTGCCTTGCTTAGGCACATGTACTTGTCTCGTGAGGGCGCTAGAGATACCGGATGAATTGAGAAAGCGGATAGAGTGAAGTTTTGAGGCGCGGAAGGCAGCGATTGCTCTGAGACCACTGCGGTATATGTTGTATTTGGCGGCATCTCAAGTCTCATCAGTGTGTTTGGAGAGTCGACGTATGGTCCGCGGTGAAGTGCTCCGTCAGTGAGAGATACACGTTTGCCATCAGCCTGGAAGATGTAGATACTAATGAATCCCAATTCCCTATCTTTAGGGTCGGAGTCCTTCGTGAAGTGATGGTGGTCAGTTTTGAAATGTTTGCCAAGCAGAAGCCACACGGTACCCCCAGTCTCGCTGTAGACAGAAAATTGGGGATTCTTCACGAAACATCCAGAGATGACACGCCCTTGAGAAAGGTCCCAGGTGAAGTGTATATCCTGTCGATGTTTAAACAAGCCGGGGTTCCAGTTCAGATATAGATGTTCAAAGTTCTGCAGGACTTCTTCACAGTCCATCCAAAAGGTCCCTGGCGATAGAGGGGACGATAGATGATCTCGATTAGCCCGTAGGCTCGCAGGCACCGCGCCAGCCCATGGATTCTTCAAGAGGAACTGGCGACGCCCTTGGGCCTCCTTCATGTCTAGAATCGCATAGTCATGTTCGCTTACTAACCCCAGACCTTGCTGTTCCAGCTCGGTTAATCTTCCAGTACCAATAGTCAACACCACATCGCCATAGGAAAATGCCTTGAACAAGCGGCCCCAGATCTCATCGGACGTGGCATCATCGTGATGCAAAAAGACTTGTTCGGGAATCCAACCGGTCAGTACCCATAAGTCGGTCCCCGAATTGCTTCCGGGAAAATCATAGCCTCCTCGGACTTTCAGGTAAGCCTTTTCAACCAGTGCAGGCCATAGGAAATTGGGATTCTTCCGGTCGATCACATGAAGCGATCGGGATGTTTTGGAGGATGGCAAGCGGTCATCTATGACTACCTTTCTAAATGAGCCATTGAAATAAAACGAGAATATGTATTTCCCAGTTGGCGAAAGAGTCGGGCTGGTAGGATCTCCTTCACAGGGATACATGGCGGGGGATGCATGCTAATTTAATTAGATTAGGTCAGGATGAGAGAAAAAGATCTTACCTTCCCTAGCCCCCGTTCTGATCGAGAGGTAGTAGCGCATAGGCTAGCAACCACGGAACAATCTGTGAGTACATCTTGTACTAAATCGGTCATTCCTGTCACCGACATGACCGGCTCGGCGCCATTGGGCTGCTGACTGGCAAGGATATCCGCAGGTCTTTTCCAACCGGCAAATATATCACCTTGACATTGTGACAGATGTAAGTCTGGCGTGTCCCTATACCTGGTCAGATGGCGAAAACGGCACCCTTCTGGAAGAATTTCAGACATACGTAAAATGTGCATCTTCATCATATGTTACGAATTCTGTCGGGACCGGTGGACGACTCCATGGTGGAAAGATGAAGCCATTGAGCTTTGCGCCTTCGAGAATGATAATTTCTTCGCGGGTGGTGAGCTTTCGCGTAGATGTGGGGAGCCGCAAATTGGATGCAGCGGCTTTTGGTTGGGCGGCTGATCGCCAGTCGGTAGCGGATTTGATCGCTTCGGCTCGAGTAATGAGTTCCTTGCATTTGGAGTCTAAATTCTTTTTGTCATCGGGGGATGCAAGGCGCAAGGCCCTCATGTAATGTTCGGCGGCATCAATGGCGGCCGCGAGTGCCGCCTTTTGCGAGGTTGCGGCGGTGATGGCTTCTTCGGCTTGCTAACTGCCGATTAGCTTCTCCGGGGGTTATCAGATCCTGGGGGGAGGAGAGAGGGGCGAGACAAGGAGAGTGAATAATGGGACTTACCTGCGCCTGAGACCGAAGTGATGATGCTGATAAAGACGAAGATGATTTTGGGATGTCCCCATCGGGTCTAGCCATAGCTTCTAGAGGCTCTTCCAGTCCTCGTCAGGGAGATTCGATCGTCGTGCGTCCAAACAGCTCGACGATGCGCCCCGCAATGCACTTCGGGAGACGAGCCTGACCTGACAGGCATCGACCTCCACGCCAATCAGCTGTAGTCCTCTGAATCGAGATAAAGTGGGCTTCAATTCTCGGAATAACAAGTTCTCTGTGTCCCTGTCTAGTTCCGAACAAATCTTGTGTCGTCCGAGCTCGTGGGTGTTGTTGGTGGCTGGTGTGAATTCCCATTGGAGGTTCAGCCTTCGGGCGGCCGAGTGGACCTCGGTTCGTTTCGTCACCGCCGCGCCGAGGTGCTTTTTGCCTGTGGTCTTTCCGGTTATCAAGCTCGGTCGTGCTCTTGTCGGGTGACATCGGTTACTATGACCTCGCTGTCGATTCGTCTATCATCATCTGTGACTCTCTGATCGGCTTACTTCGTTCCTTTGCTCTCTCCAACGGTCAGCTCTACCATCTCCGTCTTCGGAGTAACTGTCATCTAGAGGGCCCCGCTCTGATTTCCCCTTTCATACACTTTCGCCGTCTTTTTTTCCCTTTCCTTATTCTTCTCTCTGTTCGTCGCAGAGTGATCGGGCATTCATTTTTCCAGTAGAGATTATGGCTGCTCAATCAAAGCCTGTTCTCTCCCCATGGGGCAGCGCAGTTGCAGGCGCGACAGGCGCAGTCCTAGCCAATGCTATGGTATACCCGCTTGATCTGTGAGAGATCCCACCACAACCGCAGAATTGCCAACCCACTCGGAAGAAACCCCCACTAACCTGTATATCCTTCAAATAGAGTCAAGACGAAATTGCAGGTTCAAGTCAAGTCCGAAGGAGGAGAGAAGCATGAGGGAGTCGAGGTCTACGAATCTACTATCGATGCGATCACCAAAATTACCGAGAAAGAGGGCATTAGCGGGCTGTACTCTGGAATTGCCGGCTCTTTGCTAGGAGTTGCCTCGACCAACTTTGCGTACTTCTATTGGTACAGCATTGTTCGAACTCTCTACATGTCCTCCCACAAAACCCCCAAGCCCCCCCGGAACTGCGATCGAATTATCACTCGGTGCTGTTGCTGGTGCCGTGGCCCAGATCTTCACCATTCCCGTCTCGGTCGTTACTACACGTCAACAGACACAACCCAAGGGAGAGAAGAAGGGCCTTATTGAGACAGCCCGAGAGGTGGTAGATAGCGAGGACGGCTGGTCCGGCCTGTGGCGCGGTCTGAAAGCCAGTTTGATTCTGGTTGTCAACCCAGCCATTACCTACGGTGCCTATCAGCGTCTCAAGGAAGTCTTCTTCCCGGGAAAGAATAACCTGAAGCCCTGGGAGGCGTTCTGTAAGTGATGTGGTTTACTTCTTTTGCTTCTTCAGGCCTACTAGCACGCCATACTAATACACTCATAGTCCTTGGCGCCATGTCTAAGGCCCTGGCTACCATTGCCACTCAGCCTTTGATTGTTGCTAAGGTTGGCCTTCAATCCCGCCCACCCCCAGCCCGGAAGGGCAAGCCCTTCAAGACATTCGGCGAAGTTATGAAGTTTATTGTTGATAACGAAGGCCCATTGGCTCTCTTCAAGGGTATCGGCCCACAGATCACAAAGGGTCTGTTGGTGCAAGGTCTACTAATGATGACCAAGGAGAGGTATGCCAAAAAAAAACCCCTCTATCTATCTCCAGTTGCAATCGCTAACTTTCTTCCTAGAATGGAAATCCTCTTTATTGTCCTGTTTGCTTATCTCACCAAGCTTCGGAAGTCGAAGCTGCAGAAGGCCGCAGGCGCAGTTGCTGAGCAGGCTAAGACTAGCCTGCCTGCTACTTTGAAATAGGCTGCCCTATCTCAACTCATTCGGTGCCTTTCTTCTAATCTTCTACGCCTGGGACATCTACCAAGAACTCTTCTTCTTCTTTTTCTGTCTAAACGGCGTGTCGGCTTCTCCTTTCTCATGCGATTCTCCCTGCCTGTCTAGATTCCTTCCGGCTTTCGACTTTCGAATAGATGTCTGATACTGTAGAAACATATTGTTTCTGACCAGATTAGCGTCGATAGATTTGTACATACACAGTCGATTTTGCAGTTTTTTCAAGTCTATCATGATCAATACTTCCTTGAAAAAAGGATCCATTATTTATTCCCTTTTTCACGTTAGCATCGAAAGTTCTGTTAGTTTGGAAGTGCAATGAAACTCCGTAGTTTGTTCCATTGTCGTAGACTGACCGGCAGAATGACTGTCGTACTAACGTTTCTCGGCAACGGTTGTCCCGCGGAAGTTGAAGCGCTCCCGCCACGGCGATCACCGACCTTCCCCAACAACCCTCGGCTCCCCAGCTCACCCCTCTATAGTCCTGCCACTGCGAGGGTATGGGCCGATATGCGATGGCCACCATGGAGCTCCGAGTCAAACAATGACGACCAAAACAAGGAGTCTGACTCCATATTTCCGCGCTCCGCACCCATAACAAACAACCTCAGCTCGTACCTCGACTGGGAGGCCTTTGTCGAACCCAGAACTCTTATCCCGACAGTCGTATTGACAAGCGGCATTCTATTCGGCGTACGATTTCATCGTCGGTACCTACGCCGTATCCCCGACGCGCCCAGCATTTCGCCCTCTTTCCTGCGCCATCGCTCTATCTTCGGGAAAGTCACCAGTGTCGGCGATGGAGACAACTTCAGGATCTTCCATACACCCGGCGGAAGAATTGCGGGATGGGGCTGGTTACCGTGGAAGAAAGTCCCGACGAACAAGAAGGATTTGAAAGATAATACCGTTCGTCTCTCTCCGCAATGCTGTTCGCTAGGCGCCGTTCCAGCTAACGTTTCCCTCGAATACAGATCCACATCCGTCTTGCCGGCGTCGATGCACCCGAACTCGCTCACTTCGGTCGTCCAGAGCAACCATTCGCGCGCGAAGCCCACGCCTGGCTCACGGAGTATCTTTCAACCCGTTGCGTACGCGCCTCTGTTTACAAGCAAGACCAGTACAGCCGTGTCGTGGCAAGCGTGTTTGTGAGGAGGGCGTTTGACTTCCCACCATTTCGGCGGAGAGATGTCTCGTACGAGATGTTGAGACGTGGCCTGGCGACTGTTTACGAGGCCAAGGTCGGTGCGGAGTTCGGAGGTGATGCGATGGAGCAGAAGTATCGCCGTGCGGAGTCGCGGGCTAAACGCCGTTCCAAGGGGCTGTGGAAGGATATTGGATCTGACTGGGAGAGTCCGCGGGAGTATAAGACTCGTATGGGCAAAAGCGACCCGGTTGAGAATGGTGGGAAGTCGAAATCCAAGTCTTCAAAGTGAATGTCCTCCGGTTTGCAATGTCGGGTTCATATGTTACGAATTTCTTTCACCTAGTATGTACTTAGATACCTGCATGTTGCGATTATATGATTACAGCTACATAGTATGTAATATTACAATGACCTTTGTTCACAGGGCCAATCAAGACCCGGCTCCTTTGTATGGATATTATGCAATTCGAGAATAGCTATACAAGCACGAGACATATTCTTCGAGTCCCGAATCATGAGAGGGTATATTGAAGCCCAGAACTCAGTGTCCACCTAGTAAAAGCGCGACCCATTGGGTCAAAGCGACTTCGATTATAAATATTTATACACGGCCAATATGGACGATCAGCAGAATCGCCTCTCGACCTCTGCGAACAGCTTTGGAGAGATCTCGTCACTCGAGTTGCCCTCTACCCGCCAGAGGCAGCCGCGGCGATCGTAGTGATCGAGCAGGGCCCGACTAGTTTCTTCAAACTTCCGCAAGCGTTGTTTCCACGTATCGATAGAGTCGTCCTCCCGCTGGGTCAGCGGTTCGCCTGTAACGTCGTCCTTGCCGGGGGTCTTTGGTGCATTGAAATCCGTGTTATAAACTCGCCCGGATGGTTCGTGGACCCAGCGTGAGGCGATTCGATTGAGAATGACCGAGGCTGGGGTAATGAGCTCCACGACAAAGTTCACCGGGACAAGGGTGTCCAAGGCTGTGGCCTGAGAAGCGGTACGAGGGAACCCATCAAGGATGAAGGATGCGGCGGACGAGATTGAGGGAGACGGGGTTGTGGTAGACGAGGAGATTGGTGATGAGGCGGATTGGGTCTTTTTATCAGATGGAGGGAGCCAGCCCTTGGATGTCAATTCGGAGGAAATCAGGTTCAGGATCATCGAGTCCGGGACAAGGTTACCGGACTGCATGGCGGCCTCGGCCTGAACACCTATCAGATTGGTTAGACATTGGACCTATTGTTTGCGCGGAGCCCCAAGATCGGTGTTATCAATAGAAAAAACTTACCCAATGGTGTCCTGCGACGCACATTCTCGCGCAATAGGTCGCCGGAGCTGATGGAGGCTAACTGAGGGAACCGAGACAGCAAACGCTCGGACTGTGTGCCTTTGCCAACTCCAGGTGCGCCGACAAGAATGATCCGTGCGGCCTTCTTCAGGTTCTTTGATGAGTGAGACATGCTGGAGCAATATTTGGGGTAAATGGAAGGGTGCTTCCAAAAGGTGTCCGGGGTTGGTCCGATATCAATCGACAATTCCCCGAGAGTGGAACGGTTCCTGAAAAACGGCGCGGGTGACAGGGGTAAGTAAAAGACCAGGACTCAGAGGGAAAGAAGTCTGAGCGATGGGTTATTGCTGATACATCCCGCGCGCGAGAGAAAGGAAGAAACCGGAGCAGTATATAGGTGCTAGTAGCACGATATCGAGGGTCTAGCGCATATGACCAATTTCGCGACTCTGTGGGGTTGGCTTGCTTTTGCGGGTTCTCTGTCTTCGGCAACCGGTGAGGAGAGAGCCCCCGAGGGAAACGATACCTAAGCTCCTTAGGAATGCGATGCGCCCGCGCGATAAAGCTGTGTATAGGCTCTCAAAACCGACAGAATGCAATTGATCAGGATTATGGAGGTACTGATTCGGCACGGACGCTCTTCACATGCTCTTACCTGACCTTGGCTTCTGCCTTTCTGCCTTAGTAGAGTAATAAGTAATGCCTTGGTGCCTTGGTTCTCAAGGTAATTAGTGTCACGTGTCCGAGTCGCGTTCGAAGTCCGGCGGCGCGTGAAAGTCGCGCGTCCGCCCTCGATAACGGAGGTGGTCATCCAACCATACCAAGTCTAATTGTTTCGTCTTGTTACTCGATCAAGACCCGGGCCAGCACCATGATCCGACAAGACGCCCACCGAATCGATCCTAAACGCAGGACAATCATCGATCCCAAGAAAAGGCAGTTCGCCGCACCCATATACAAGCAGCAGGATTACCCATTTCGTCTAAATTTGTACGACACGCCGCCAACAGCAGAGATCACCCTTGAGCAGTTTGAACAATGGGCTATTGATAGACTCAAGAGTATGACGTTCTTGGCGAAATTCTTATATACGAATTGCTCACTAATGTTGATATAGTTCTCGCTGAGATCGAAGCTTGCTCCTATCGCAACAAGTCCCCCGCTGAAACCGCGTCGCACATCACCCCTCTTCTCCAGAAATTCCTCCCTCTTTCCTCAAATACTTCATCTGCGACCGGCGCCGCCGACCTACGCTTGAAGAATGAACGTCAAAAAGATCATTATTCCCACTTCATCCTTCGTTTGGCTTTCTCCGCCACGGAGGATCTGCGACGACGATTCGCACGCGCTGAAACGATGCTCTTCCGATTCCGTTTCCAGAATGATGACTCGAGGGAGCGACGTGCGTTCGTGGAAAGCTTGAGTCTCGATTGGGAACCAGTCAGTGACGAGGAACGTCATGAAGTCAATGAGAGCTTAGCCAGCTCGACACCTGGGCTGCGTCGTGTCGACGAAGAGACCTGGTACAAGGTTGATTGGGAGAAGGTTCCCGAGCTTATCGAGCGCCGAAATGTGTTCCTGAAGAAGGGCAAAGCCTATGTTCCTGGAAGGGAACAGCTAAGCATGATTATGGCTGAATTCACAGCTCGTCTTGAACGTTCGCTCGAAGTAGGTCTTGATCACATCCTATACCTTTGCCCATATGATTGGAAAAGAACCAGCTAACATAACAAAGTTAACGAGCCGTGCTCTTCCGCGCTTAGACGAGGATGACCGTTTAACTCCTATTCTGAATCACCTTTCGAAGAACTTCGGCAGTGCCGACTCAGTATACACCGAAGGCGAAGGGCATGTTGATGGTACAGCAATCACTGCAAGCTCCATTGACTCTCTATCTCAGCACTTCCCACTGTGCATGCGCAACCTACACACGAATCTCCGCAAGGATAACCATTTGAAACACTTTGGTCGACTCCAATATACCCTTTTCTTGAAAGGCATTGGTCTCTCACTTGAGGAATGTATTCTCTTCTGGCGCCAATCTTTTAAGGGCAAGACAGACGACGAATTCAATTCACAATACAAGTACAATATTCGTCACTCATATGGTGATGTTGGTGGTGATGTGAATCGCCGAGGACGAGGGTACCCTCCATACTCGTGCCAGAAAATTCTGCAGGATAACAATGTCGGTGTCGGCCAGGCACACGGCTGCCCGTACCGCCATCATTCAGTTGATAACCTTGTTGGACTGCTCCAATCCACTGGAGTTCATGATAAGGAGGTTTTGCGTGGAGTCCGTGAGGACGTGGGCAAACAGCGTTTCCACATTGCTTGCAACCGAGTGTTCGAGTGGTCTCACAAGAGCGAGATCAAAAAGGTCAAGGAGGATGGAACCTGGACTCAAGCAGATCTGGATACCATTGTCCACCCCAACACTTATTTCAAGCGCAGCTACTTGCTGAAGCAGCTGGCCAAGGCTCCAAGCCGAGATACTTGAGCGCGGCTCACATGTGAAATTTTCTCACGAGGACATGTCGACTTCGTCCGAGGTCGTGCAATTGGGTCAAATGGCGTTCAGGATGGTTGCTTGGATTTGTACATTGCAAGGAGGCATTTAGGAAGAAAGGATTGTTCGCATAATTTTTTTATTTTGATTTTCTTTTCCATATTCTTCACAAGTAACAACGTATAAATAACAGAGAATTTTTTTTTTTTTACGGGAGATGTGACCACAGCTGATTCCCAATAAATCCGAAAGGATCAGAATGACCTTTCAAAATCAGGTGCCCAGCAACGGGTCAAGTCGATCTCCGCTCGACGCGAAAACAATTTCATCAATTGGAATGACGGAAACTGTCGATACTAATGTGTTTTTTGTAGTCGGCGTTGAATGAAGAAAGGAAGAGAATGCGGCGGCAGCGACGAGATTTAAGGCGGGCAGGTACGGTTGGCGGCAGTGACCAGAAGCGCTGCAACCTGGCCTTAATCGGGGGAAACGGTCACCTCCACACAACATACTCACCTTGTGCTTCCTTCTATCCAAGTAGCAGACATCGGAGCATCTAGATCTGGGACTAGGTTGTGCTCCGGTGTGGTTCTTTTGTCTAGAGTTCCCAGGAATCTCTTCAAACCGAGGCTTGATTGCGACTTGATTCGCTCCTTGCCCTCCCCCTCCTCTCCTTGTCAACACCGCCCCCGAGACCTCCAACCCCAACCACAACAATGGATTTCGAAACTCTGAAGGATCAATGGAGTGACGTGGAGGATCGTGATGGTATCCGCCTGAGCTGGAACACGTTCCCGAGCTCTCGCATGGTTCGTACTTGCGGCTGAGCGCAAGTCGCTCTACACCGATTGCATCACCTGCTAAGACTCGATATAGGAAGCCTCGCGCCTGGTCGTTCCCATTGCTGCCGTCTACACGCCATTGAAGGAGAAACCAGATTCTCCGTTGCTTCAATATGAGCCCGTCAGCTGCAAGCAGCCTTGCCGAGCTGTTCTCAACCCATATGCGTAGGTGTTTTGGTAGTAAGCTGGGCCTTGAACATCGGACTGACCGCTGCTAGTACTGTCGATGTCCGCGCGCGGATCTGGATCTGCCCGTTCTGCTTGTCGCGCAATCCCCTTCCGCCTCACTATAAGGATATCACCGAAAACACGATACCCCCCGAGCTTCACCCGCAGAGCACCACCATCGAGTACCAATTGGCACGACCCGCTCCGGCACCCCCGATCTTCGTCTATGTTGTCGACACGTGCCAGGAGGATGACAGTCTCCAGGCAGTCAAAGACTCTCTTGTGATGAGCTTGTCCCTTCTGCCACCGAACGCACTGGTTGGTCTGATCACCTACGGCACAATGGTATGCGCAACAAGCCTCTCCCTTTTATCACAAGGCAAAGCCAGTATGCTGATTCATATCATCTAGACTCAAGTTCACGAGCTTGGTTACACCGAGTGCGCCAAGTCATACGTGTTCCGCGGCAACAAGGACTACACCGCTAAGCAGGTTCAAGAAATGCTGGGCCTTGCTCAGGGTGTTCGCCCGGGTATGCCCCCTCAGCAGCAACCGCAGCGCCCTCCCCTTGGCCCCGCGGCCCGCTTCCTTCTGCCAGTCCAGCAAGCCGAATTCCAGATCACCAACGTCCTCGAACAACTCCAGCGTGACCCTTGGCCAGTGGCCAACGATAGACGTGCTCTCCGCTGCACCGGTGTGGCTCTGAGCGTTGCCGTTGGTCTTCTCGAGACCTCTTTCCAAAATGCCGGTGGACGTATCATGAACTTCACAAGTGGACCCGCTACCGATGGGCCGGGTCAGGTCGTTTCGCCCGAGCTGAAGGAGCCAATTCGTTCGCATCACGATATTGACCGAGACAACATCAAGTTCTATAAGAAGGCTGTAAAGGTACGTTTCTGATCATATCGGCCTTTTGCATTCCTCCGCTAACAAACCACTAGTTCTATGACAACCTCGCTAAGCGCGCCGCGAACAATGGTCATGTCATCGATATCTTCGCTGGGTGTCTGGATCAAGTTGGTCTTCTGGAAATGAAGAACCTGTCTAATTATACCGGTGGCCACATGCTTCTGACCGATAGCTTCACCTCCTCTCAATTCAAGCAATCCTTCGTACGAGTGTTCGACAAAGACGCCAATGACAACCTTCTCATGGGCTTCAACGCTTCCCTCGAGGTGCTTACTACCAAGGAGTTGAAGGTCACCGGTCTCATTGGTCACGCGATCTCTCTGAACAAGAAATCAAGCTCGGTCGGCGAGACAGAGTGTGGCATTGGCAACACTTGTGCTTGGAAGATGTGCGGTATCGACCCATCCTCCAGTTACGGTGTCTACTTCGAAATTGCCAACCAAGGTGGCCCAGCTGCTGTGCAGCCTGGTCCCCAACGCGCCATGATGCAGTTCTTGACATACTACCAACACTCCTCCGGTAACTTCCACCTGCGCGTGACGACTACTGCCCGCCCTCTAAGTGGCCCTGCGGGTGACCCTACTCTCGCCCAATCATTCGACCAGGAAGCTGCCGCCGTACTGATGGCTCGAATTGCCGTTTTCAAGGCAGAGGTGGACGATGGTCCCGATGTCCTGCGCTGGGTGGACCGTATGCTGATAAGGCTGTGCTCTCGCTTTGCGGATTACCGGAAGGACGACCCGACATCATTCCGACTGGAAAAGAACTTCACCCTCTACCCTCAGTTCATGTTCCACTTGCGACGAAGTCAATTCCTGCAGGTCTTTAATAACTCACCCGACGAGACTGCTTTCTACCGCCATGTTCTGAACTATGAAGATGCCGGCGACTCGCTGGTCATGATCCAACCTACCTTGGACTCCTACTCCCTGGAGGCTGAGGGTAGCCAGCCCGTCCTTCTGGACTCCGCTTCCATCCAGCCCGCTCACATCCTTCTCCTTGACACCTTCTTCCACATTCTCATTTTCCACGGTGAAACCATTGCCGAGTGGAGGAAAGCCGGTTACCAGGACCAAGAGGGCTACGAAAACCTCAAAACCTTGCTGGAGCAGCCCAAGGAGGATGCCAGGGTTCGTTTATCCTCTCTCTAACTTCCCACTGTGACCAAAAACTGATTATCTGATAGGAACTCATCTCCGATCGTTTCCCCCTACCCCGCTTCATTGTCTGTGATGCCGGCGGCTCCCAGGCCCGTTTCCTTCTGTCTAAACTGAACCCGTCAACCACCCACACTACCGGTGGATACGGTGGCGGTGTGTCTTCGCAGACCATCTTCACCGACGATGTTTCCCTGCAGACATTCATGGATCACCTGATGAAGTATGTACCGATTTATTTTCATCCCCCAGTCTTTATGCATTGACTAACCATTTGAATTAGGCTTGCTGTTTCTGGCACTAGTTAGTTGTAAACGAGACGATAGTCATGAGAGCAAAGGGCGGTCTGATATCGACCCCTCGGGTCTTGTGTATCTTTAGCGGTGATTGAATTTCATTTTGACGCAATATAGTAGTAGATTGAATGGATTGATACCAAGGCATTGAAAACCCCACTATGTAGCAGTGTACATACCGAGTACAGTACATATTACGCTATATTAAGTACCAGTCCAAGTGGCTCACGTAGATCGATGGGGCCGTGTTTCGCACTTGCCCCATCGCCCCAAGTCAACAAGCTACCCGATCAGGAACAGAGCTCCATATCACGTGACGTTTACACTGAGGGCTTTTCCTGATTTGCCCTACTGCCAATTTCGGCCACTCGCTTGTCACTAGTGGCATTGTGGGTCCGCCGACTCGCCGAAGACTTTGTTCAATTCCGCGTCTCTCTTTTTCTTTCCTTCTCATCCACCTCTTCGACAACCAAAGGCAGATTGACTACCTTTCGCACTCGCCATGCGTAAGTATCATCGCCTTCTTGGTCCAATTAATGGCGGCTAACCTTTCTCTCATGCAGCTCCCAAGTTCGACCCCTCCGAGGTGAAGATCATCCACCTCCGTGTGACCGGTGGTGAGGTCGGAGCCCAGTCTGCTCTTGCCCCCAAGATCGGTCCCCTTGGTCTGTCTCCCAAGAAGATTGGTGAAGATATCGCCAAGAACACCCAGGACTGGAAGGGAATTAAGACCACCGTCCGTCTTACTATCCAGGTAAAATCAATTCCCCCAACCACTCTTAGCTCTGGTCAAAATACTAACTTCTCCTCAGAACCGACAGTATGAAACCTTCAACCATTGGATGCAAGGCATCGATACTAACAATTGAAACAGGGCTACCGTCTCGGTCGTTCCCTCCGCCTCTTCCCTGGTCATCAAGGCCCTCAAGGAGCCCCCTCGTGACCGCAAGAAGGAGAAGAACATCAAGCACAACAAGTCCGTCGCCTTCGACGAGATTGTTGAGATGGCCCGCACCATGCGTCCCCGCTCCATGGCCAAGACCCTCCAGGGTACCGTCCTTGAGATTCTCGGAACTGCGTTCTCCGTTGGCTGCCAAGTTGACGGTCGCAGCCCCAAGGATGTTCAGGAGGACGTCAAGGCTGGCGAGATCGATGGTAAGCTCTTCGTCCACCTGTATATTTTTTGATCTGTTTCGCTGACTCAAATAGTTCCTGAGGAGTAAATTTTTCCTCTATAACAGGAAAAGGGTGGTCTTCTGTTTTTGTAACAGCATCAGCCTGCTGAAAATGCGGCGCTAGTTGCAGAATACGAATTGTGCCTACAACAAAAAAGATATTCATGAGTCATGACTTGATACCTTTGCTTTCCGCGCTCTGATGCGAGTGACCGAATGAACAATTGGATCACCCTCGCATTTTGTTTCTCTCCGTTCGTATAGATTTTCCCCGTTTCTGCTTTTCGTTTTCTCCAATGCCCTTTCTTGGTTCTTCTCGCCTTCACTCCCACTGGCGACGAAGTCCCTGAAAGCCCAGACGTCCCGGCGCACCCCATTTTCTCCAAACACCTTACAACACTCTGGTCCTTGCCGTTCTTTTCCTGCGGGAACTGGACATATCTCATTGTGGCATCCGACTTATTTTAAGTAAGGGAGAGCAACTGATCCTTTACTCACCGCGGTATCCTTGGAGTGCGCTTGCGTGCTCCGTGGGTACAGTGGTCCATTTTTGTGGTCTACATCCCGTCAACAATTACCTCTGGATATTGTTTGATTCGCGTAGCTTCGTAGGCTCAGCTTTGTTTATTTAGAACTTCAATTGAATGTCTCTTGTCAATTCTTGCATCTGCTAAAAGTAACTGTGTTTTACTGCACCGGTCGAGATCGAATGTCTTGCCTTGATCCTTGATTGGTCTGTTCGATTAAGATTTCTGCCACGTTCTTTCCGGCTGAGGGATCATCCAGTACTACGGAGCAATGACCAGACTATATGATCGTCGCCGAGTCGTGTTCTGATGTCCCCAAAGATAGTGTACTATGTACAGACAGATCCCGTCCATCTCGTCCATTGAATATTCTATTTTTTCCATATGACTCGGATATTTGATTGCACGCATGTCTACTAGTACTATGTTTCTCCTGCGGTGTTTAGCAGCTCACGGCTATTGCGGCCGCCTGCATGTTGCACTTCGGCGCGCGGCATGTCTGCCACTACTGGGACATATACCTAACACCTGGGTAGGTACGCATATATATTTCGGGAATGGTGATTTCAAACGGATGGCATGACTCGTACTAGTGATTCCACCAGAGTTACGTCGGTAAATTGAAAGGATTTCCGCCCCTTGCCCAGATCAACACCTACCAGTGAGCAGCGAGCAGCGATCTCCCACGCAGGAAGCATCTAGATATAGTTAGTAATGAATCCGTAGGTAACCTACTCATGTGTTTGCGCCGCAGGCCCCTGGCCCCAACTTCCCCACCGCCATATGGCGATGAGCTTGTTTTGCGCCATAATAGTACATATGAGAGCAGAAAGTGTCCAAGTACCTTTCTGAAACACTTCAAACAACCGCTATTCTACACCGTATCGCCTGGAGACCCTGCAACGGCATGCCACATAGAGAAATGTTTCGCGGATAGTCGTGTTGTGGTGATTGGATGCTTAAGGCACAGGATCCAGACCGTGTACAGGGGGAAGTGCGAGCGATGCCTACGCTATGAGAGAGATTTAAAAAACAAACACACAACTGACTATGAGTGATTACGATGCAGCTAAGGATAACTGGCCCCAGCAGGCCCAGAGTTGATAGAGAGTGAGCTCCACCGATGACGATCTTTGCTGGAAGGCCGTCCCTGATAAGGCGCTGTTCGTGCACCACCTCCCCTCCACCTCCACTCACACTCGGACGGCGGTGGAGACTCGAGGAGCGGGAGTCACAGTGCACGGTTCCTCTGCTTAGACAAAGTGGGTAATCACTAAAGCATCGCTGGAGAATTACTGGAGCCTTACCCACCGCATTGATTCGACCTAACATCCGTTGGTAGCCCTGGCATGGGGTCGGGGAATATCGAAGGTTGGACAAATGAGCGGCGGCGCTGGGCTCCAGGATTCTCGCCGCAACTCCTTTTGAAACCGGTACCTGCCGGCTTCATCTGGGACGATGGCGTCCGTACCACCCGACCCGCATGCCAAACAAGCGTTGGTGTGTGGGAGGATGAGGATGGGAGGGTGAGTATGCCGATCTCTGCAGCCTGTGGGTGGCTCGAGTGGATTAGGGGAGCATGTCGATATAACATTAGCAGTGGTCAGTGGAACGTCCCTCGAGGCCGTTGGGATGGAAGGTTCGAATATTCCTCGGTGTGACCGTGCCACTATCCCTTTTGATGAGGGAGGCGCAGGCGATGGTGGTGGTGGTGGGAAGGAAAGAGGAACAAGGGGAGGGGTCAGATTCCTTGTGGAGGAGCTTTAACACGCATTTAGAGTACCAATAATAATCCACTATGTACTCCGTTCTCTGTTCTCTGTGCTCCGTATGTATGGATAGCCCGGACAGTGGAAATGCAGATACCTAGACAATTGAGGCGGAGGCGAAGGGATAGGATCGCGACATCCCTGTCAGCAACCCCAGAATCTCGGACCCGGATAGGCAAAGATTCGCAAATTGGATGAGGCGACCAAGGCAAACAGGGGAGCGCTTGTCACCGGGACACGAAGCGATGGCAGATGGTGGATTGGTGGCTGCAGGAGGGGCGCTTACAGCTGTGCTTTTTTTGGGATGGTCGCAGTTGTAGGCCAGGTTCTCTAGGGTCAAGGGGAGTGAGATGTGTCTTTTTCTTCCTTTTTCCTTTTTTTCTTGGAAGTGCTGGTAAGCTGGATTCCTCCCTTTTGACTGCAGGCATGAAGTACGGTGTACGGAGTATGAAGTACCCCATATAGAGTACTTTGTACGTAGACTATACCTCAAGCACAAAGATCCGAATTTCATTCTGGAGGCAGGTGGTGGCGGCAGGAATCAGGTCTAGCCATGCGTATCTCATCACTAAGGTTCCGCCCAACTCCATAGTAATCATTTGAAGCTCCACCTGAGAGCACAAAGACAAGAACGGGCTCGACTCGATCATCACAGCGGGGCGTCACCGATCCATGACTAGTCGTCTGGATGGGACCAATGGTCCACTGACGTTGGTCTCTTTATGGAGACGCCAACCTAGAGGAGGGTTCAGCCGTTGGATCAAGTGGAGCCCCGGTGGAGTAGGGGAGGAGAAGGGGGAGGAGAAGGAGGGCTGAGGCACTTTTGGAGGACGAAAGAGAGAAGAAAAAGAAAAAAAGGGAAAGAAAAAAAGGGAAAAGGGAAAAGATGGAGGAAACAGAGAGGGAAGGCGAAGAGGCAGGTGCTCCCCTAAGATTCAATCAAAGTCCAGGAAGGTGCGACCGGGCTATAATATAATACCATACCATCACTGTCAAGTAACCAGGTATTAGGTATTAATTTATAGATACACATCATAAAGACTTAATATAACAAGATATAAGTAACAAGTAGTAAGTAATAAGTAATAAGTAATATCTGATGTCTATGTCTGAAAATCCTTTAGCCAAGCTGTAATTTAGTAAAAGAAAAAAAAAGCTGCCGTGACGATCCCGCCTTCTCCCCCCCCACTCGGCTTGGCTGGAGGGCACTGGTGGGCATGCCTGTGCAAGTGTGTAGTGTGTATGACTCTTTTTTTGTAACTTACCCTTCTGCAACACTCTGTCTACCTTTGACCATATCCTCTCATCCCTCACTCTCTCATCCCCATCCTCATCTCACCTATTCTCCCTTATCATCGCCGTCTCCGCCCTCCCTTGGACCTTGTCGACTCCATTCAGCGCACAATTCTTGCCAAGATCGCCCGCATTTCATTGGCCCACTCGTCTCGGTCACCAGCAGATCGCGAGCTGGTCTTGCCCCTTCTCCCTTGCATTTGGCTCTGAGAATCGAAACTCTGCTTGTTACACCCTGTCCTTTGACTCTTATCGACCTTCTTCAACTTATCGCGGGGACACGCTCTTTTTTTTTTTTCACGGTCGATGACGATATTAGGAGCCAGGTACACACCTTGCTCCACTCTTCACTACGCGGGCTTGGAAAACCCATAATGAGGTGTCGGAAACGCATCAAGGAGGATGCTTGCTGAATTTTCACGATCTCCAACTGACCGTGTGTTCATCTTCACCCGAAACCCCTGGTAGACTGCCATCGGTCGTGGTCGAATAGGAGACCGACCGGCGGTGGTCGAGGTGGTGTGAAGATGTTTCCGACCGTCGCGCAGTTCCCTTCGGTTCAACCACATCACCACCTTCATTATTCTACTTATGATACCCAAAGCCAACCATACGATGCGAATGACCCGAAATTCCCCATTCAAAATGATCCCTCAACCCTTTTCCACGACCCATCTTCTCGAACGCGCCTTCAGTTACCGCACCCGGTCCAACGCCTCGACCCCCGCGATGCCTTTGGGACGAATTCGACTTCAAATTCCGCAGCCGAACACGCTTTAAGAAGGAAAACACCCAACGGAACTCTGGCTGCTGGATACGATGGTACCCCTGGCGATACGATGATCCAACCCGCCACCAAACACATCCTGGTCTCCCCGATGGAGTCAGGTCAATTTCTTGCTCCGCAGACAGGTCTGCAGCCCGAGACCTGGTACCCGGCTGTTCTCGACCCGTCCATTTCGATGCATATGAACTTCCCACCTGTCTTCAAAAACGACGGAAGCAACCCGATCGCTGCGGGGGAGGTGGTTCACAATGTAAATGGGACGAGTTGGGTGCGTCCTGTGAACTACCCGCCGGGAATTGACTCGGTGCTCAATCAAAGCCTTCCCTTGCAGGCATCTCAGCGATTGATGTTGCAGAATGGTTCCTACATTCCGACCGTTTTGCCCGCCACGCTCCAGCAGTGTGTTGGGCCAACTGCCTCCGCTGGATCTGGCCCATATGGACCATACTGGCCAGATGGTGTTTACATTCCTTACCGTCCTGCAGCCTTTCGAGATTCACGCTTTGGCACACCAACTCCTACAGGATCCCCCTTTTTCGACCCCGGTCAACTTAAACAACCCACATTTAACCAACAACCTATACAGCGCGAGGGCCTCGTTGACCCGGCGCTTGCATGGGCCCAATCTTCTGCCGGTATCTCTCCCCATGATCATATGATGAAGACTCATTTTCCACCTCGACATTCTGATCAGCTACCTTACCATGCTCGCGTCAATCGTCCGGCGTCGGGATATTCTACCAATCCTCTCAACAATGAACCTATAGCTTGGAAAGGCAGGGCTTCCGCACATGATTTCCAGCCTCAAGCACCCCCAACATCCGTCAACGTGGAGTTCAAAGAGAAGATTCTCTCTTGGGCACATAGCGTATATGTTGATTTGCTTGCGACCATCCACCAAGCTCGCCGCAACAGTATTTCCAATGGTGGTGTTGATGGCCAAAGTCAGCGCTTTTTAAAACCAAGCATCTATCCAAAACCCCCCTCGCCAACCGGGTCTTGATTTCTCACAAGGCACCGTTCCCGAAATTACTCGACATAACAGTTATCCGTCCACCCAATATGACTTGCAACGCCAAAAGCTTGGCCTTTTGGCTAACCAGAGAATGGGAGACGTCCCTCCCGTGCCTCTTAGTCGCGGACACGTCCATGGTCGACGTCCATCTTTGAATCAATTTTCTCAGCATAGAAGTTCCGATGCGCAGATACGTGACACCGGACGTTTTCCAGGTGCAACCACGGCCCCTCGGTTTCCCGGAACTGTTTTCAATGAGGGCTCCCCTGTGGCTAGCGCTGTGTCTGCTCTCGAGATGTTGTCCCACCTATGCATGGAGAGTCGCTGGGAGTGGATTGATGGTATGCTACTTGGTGGATGTTTGGCATATGGTCTTGGTGATTATCACAAGGCCATGCGATGGTACTCGCGAATCATCGCACGCGATGCGACGTAAGAAGCACCCTCGAATTTGATTTTTCTGATCTCCTGATACTGACTCCCTGGAATTAGACATGTGGAGGCTATCTCCAACCTAGCCGCAACCTTATTGGCCCTAGACCGTCGAGAAGAGGCTATGCAAAATTGGCTTCGTGCTGTGAAACTACGCCCAAGTTTCTTTGAAGCAATCGAACATTTGATTGGACTTTTGTGCACCAGCCACCGTGGCAAGGAAGCTGTAAATATCATTGACTTCGTTCAGACTTCCTTGCGCCACCCCAAGGATGGAGATTGCTTCAAAGCCGACGAGCATGCCAGCGAGCCCGAGAGTGATGCCGATAGCAACGTGTCTGACATGGGGATGCATGACAAAGCGTCGTTCGACTATGAGGACGATATGCGGCGTGTCCAGAACTTGAATTTGGGCTCACCCGATGGTAGCGTTATTGGATTTGCAACTAGCGGATATGCTATCGCTGGCTCAGATAATGGCAGAATGCTGGCTCTGGTCCATGCTAAAGGCAATATGCTCTACGCTCTCGGCGACAATAATGGCGCAGCAGATGCATTTGAGGACGCAGTTTTAATTGCGTCAGGGAGAAGACGGCATGGAATTCAAAGTCTCATCAAGCAGATCTTTTCTGCCTTTTCTCTCAGCCCCAACAGCGGCTATCAGTCGCAACCTGGTCCCAACGAGAGTGTTCTGCTTTATCCTGACAGAGCCTTGCAGACATCAAAGCTTGTCTTCCAATCGGGTGGAACACCCCCAGGCCTGAAGTATGTGACCGAAGGTATGTCTCGAAACGCGGCCATCTCAACGACCAGCAATTCTCTCTTGTCCTTGGCAAAGATCTACCAGGATGGCATGTCAACCGTCTCCTCTGGGCCACCGAGATCCGCACCTGGAGTCCGAGACATATTGGCGCTCTATTACCTTTCTCTATCCCTTCAACCGAGTCCCTCTACCGCAAACAACGTTGGTATTTTGCTTGCCGGAATCCAGAATAGCCCTCCTGCAAGAGGGCTTGTTCGCCCAAATGGAGAAAGCCAGCACCCCGAAATTCCGGGTGTCATGCCTGGAAGTGGCATTTCATTGGCGTTGGCATACTACAATTACGGCTTGCACCTTGACTCCCGGCACGCTCATCTCTACACCAATCTTGGCAGCCTTCTCAAGGATATCGGCCAACTTCAAGCCGCTATCAAGATGTATGAGCAAGCGGTTCAGTGTGATGGTAATTTTGATATCGCACTCGCGAACTTGGCCAACGCCGTGAAGGATGCCGGGCGGGTTAATGACGCCATATCATACTATCGGCGCGCCGTTAATGTGAACCCTGACTTTGCGGAAGCGGTCTGTGGATTAGCAAATGCTCTGAACTCTGTGTGCAACTGGAATGGCCGCGGTGGCATCACCAATGGACAAGGGTTCTGTGACCGCTGGCACGTGGATGATCGGGGTATGCTTCGCGATTCCCAAACA